CCTATATTATATATTATGATTAACGTAAGCTCAATGCTATTTATTACTTTATTTAGCTTATTATTTAAAGAGTTTTAAAAAAAGAAATATTTTAATTTCCGAACTGTTTGCGTAAAATTAAATGTTTTTGAAACATTTATAAAATAAACATTTATAAAACTCATAATTTTATAAAACTTCGAATAAATTGATTGTAAATATCATTAAAATGCATAATATCGAACAATTTTATGTAATCGAATGGAGAGAAAATTAGCGATCTTAAAGAAAACAATTCATTTATTTTAAATATGGTTTTTTATCATTATTTGATAAAAACAAAGTTTTAATTGGAATTATACGAATTGGTACATTATTTAACTGTACTTTCTTAGCTTTAATACTCAATATTCCTTGATCTAACAACTTTGATTTAATTGTATCCATTTGTACATCGCTTGGAATTTCATATTTACGAATAAAATGACGTTGAATAGTACCATTTTCATCATTTCTTTCATCATGTTTCCCTTCAACGATTAATTCGTTTCCATGAATACTCAGAGACAGGTCACCTGGATGAAATTGTGACACATCGATTTCAACGGAAAACGTTTCTTTGTCGTTGGTCATCTTGAAAAAAAATTATTTTATATTCATAAAGTTTTGAAAAATTTTAAAAAACCGAAAATGTCATAATAGCAAGAAAAGGAGAACTCACTTTACCAATAGTATTGCCAATATTACATTGTTCTAAGAGGGGTTGATTATGCCAATATGGTGTTTCCGTGCGATTCATTTGCATACCATTACCGAACAAATTATCAAAAGCAATATCAAGAGCATTTATTAAATATCGCTTAATTAACGCGGCACCAAAGCAACGATACAGGTCATCCGATGTATAAATCGACATATTAGCAACGACAAGCTTACGGCAATTTTATTTTGCAAAATGCCAAATTCTCATCCTTTTATAGAATTTACTCATTGATTCTCGAATCATTTTAATGCCTTTCATATATTATTTTTCAATTGTATATTCATCTCTATCATTATTAAAAATTCGAGAAATTTCTAAAAATTTCTCGAGATTTCCCTATTCTCAGTATTTTATGATTGAAATACGTCCACTTTTCTTAATATAACTGTAAATAATTTTAATAAATTATATTTATACAAATATTTAAAATATGCTTTAAAAAACATAAATATTAAAGTAAAAAAGAGCGAATAAAAGCGAATTCTTGCCAGTTGTTTAGAAAGAACGTTCGAATAGGTTTAGAAGTTCTATTTGAGGGATTTTTCTCAGAATTATGGCCGTTATTGCTGAATCACCCCGGAAATTATTTTTTATCGATAACGAATATTTTAGTATTTTATAAAACTATTTTTCTAAATTTCAATAAAGTATTTTCGTCAAAAAACTGAAATTATCCAATTTGAAAAGATAAGAAGAGGAAAATTCGCCTAAATTTTACTTTGTAAAATGCCAAATTTGTCAAATTTCAATGTAAAAATTTGTAACAAGTAAAGATGACTAATGAAAATTAAAATATATATTTAAATTTGGTCAATTATATTTGCGAGAATAAAAAATTAGTGATATTTTGTGATAGTGATAGTGACAGTGATATTTTGACCAACAGATACTACGCACTACTGAAGCAGCCTTTACAAATCTGAATTTCATCGTCATTCAAGAATGTATTTAAACTGAACTACAACTGAATAGGCTGTGTATCATATGGTGAATATGCCGGAGGCAGCCAAATAACGAAAAATTTTGAATTTTGCATGTCACAGTTCTATCTTATCCAAACAATCGTTTCGAGGCTTTTAAAACAACCTGTGGTACTTAAGTGTCAAATAAATTTACGAAAATATTGTTAAGAAAGCAAATGACAAATTAACGAGAATTTTTTTAAGCATAAAAAGAGGTGCAAAAAATAATTACAAAGCGAAATAGCAATTTTTATTCGAAAATTTTTGAAATTTTTTCGAAATATTGCATTTCGGTTATTCCTTAGCTGCATATTTCACTAATGGAGAGAGAGACGCTTCCATTTCTTTCTTATAGGTCCAATATACGGCAAATTATGGCGGCAGAAGGATATTCTCAATAATCCTTTAAAAATTCAAAATGTTACTTCTTAATTTTAGTTTCCGTATAAAAAAGTTTTTCAGCATTCCATTATATTCAATGGCGACAAATTCTAAGAATTTCCTAAGACGATTCTTACAAACTCGTGGATGAAAAAATTACTTTTCGCATTACTTATTGCGAAGTACTTATAAATAAAGTACTTAGCACAAGTTACTGTGTTTAAATTGTACAAAAATTAAAATAAACTACAAATAAATTATTAATTTCAAAAAAATTTCTCCACTTTTATTTTAATTTTAATTGTTATTTTAATTCTTAATAAAATTTCATAATTTTTAATGTATTTAATTCTCTTCCAATTTTATCGAATTTATTATTCTAATATTAAAATAATATAATATTTTAATAAAAAAGAATAAAGAAAAATCATCGAATATACATCTCTATAGTGAAATAATGAAAATAAAAATTGCCTTTAATATAATTAATGATTAATGATATATAATTAATGATTAAAACAATATTGGCTGATAGCTAATTAGTGGCTGACATGGCCAGATACAGCGGTTGACTTGTACTGCATTTCAGCTGAAAAGGAATAGGCCATATTCCAGTTTTTTCATGAAATTAAATCTATAATTAATAGTAAAGCCGAGTGGCTATTGGCGAGCCATAGTATACCTATCTTCTCTGATACCATTTCAGTGTAATAAAATTAAAAACTATGAAATGCAGAAGCTCAAAAAATCATGCTAACAGAAATGTCATAAGTCATTCACAAACATTATATTTGTAGAAATCTTGGTAGGAAGAGAGGGTGGAGGAGAGGGAGAAGCGTACGTTAGTCTCTTTTATCCATTTTATTATTTAACTTAATTTATTCATAATTATAAATATTGTTAAATTATACCAAATTATCGCAAACTATATTCGTCTTTAAAGTTATTAAAACATTTTATATTTAAATGATTAAATATACATTAAATATATATAAGTTGATGAACAAACGAATCTTAAGCTTATATTATTGATCATTTAAATTTTTATTTAAATATGAATTTAGAAATGATAAAAAATAACAGATTTAAGGAAGCAATTTGTGCCTAAATATGTGAAATGTGAAAGATGTTTCATGCACTGCATTTTGCGGTTAAAATTGCTTTCCATTAAATTATCTTATGCATAAATGAAAATTTTTTTTTAAGAGTTCACCGGTTAGGCTCATTGCGCTGTCTTGTTGCATTAAGTAAATATACTAGGGAATCCTTTGGCGGTAGAAGTGAAAGTAAACATCACTCGGATTTTTGGACAAATTTATTCCTATGCGTGATAGAGCTTTAGCATTGAAGCTCCGACGCGTAATTGTAATTTAAAAATGCACCACTTACGAAACAAGGTTTTATATATTTATTATTTTTTACACCGAAACAGCAATAAGCACATTTTTTCACAAATTTAATTTGCATAATTGTATAGTATTTTATGTCCTGCATTAAAACATAACAATTTTATGCGTAAACATGCCTCGAATTTTGATATATTACTTAAACATGCACCATTATATGCTTCAATTTCGCCCTAATATATGTTTATTTTATGCCTAAACATGCCAGCTGATGCATGAACCCACATTATTTCCAGCTTAAAATTAATAAAAATGGTGGCCATTTGCGGTTAAACTTCGCATGATGAGACATTTTCGAAGGATCCAAGGACAATAATACAAATTTGTTAATTTTCTCTGCTTCGATTAATATTAATTATTGAGTATATTTTATAAAGAAAAAATTAAAGAAAAACTATGCAATTAGATTACGCTTATGTATAGAAAATTTAAGCGTGAATTTGCTTTAAATATACGCTACGTTGTACGCAAATGCAGCAAGCATAAATATTTACGATCTCTTTATTACAATCAGCTAACATTTTTTGTGCGGATGCAAAGATGTACTTATGCACAAACTCAGCTTTTTTTTGCAATCGAATTTTTTTTGCACTATTTGATTTGAAACTTTTTTGTTGATAGCAAGAGAATTTGCTTATCTACTGGTCTCTGTATCTTTAACAAAATTAATTTTTGTTTTTATCAATCAAAAAAGTTCGCTTTAAATTCAAAAATTTGAAAATTTGTTTTAGTATTAAATTTTTTTTTATTATATTATTACTGAAGGAATTAATTAATTAATTAGGAAATAGAAGAAATTAGAAATTATTGAAGAAACTTCATTAGAAAAAAATCGCAAGCTTATCATTAAAAAGGCTCGAATCGGCAAATTTTTTAAGGAAACATATATTATTTGTTGTAGGTTTTGGTATTACTTCGTTGAGAGCACGGTAAATTTCGCTGTAAATTTTATTATATAGAAAATGATCAATTTATAATTAGCATAGTGCTTAAAATAATGCGATAGATTTTTCATATTATGCTTGGCCAACTATGCATTTAAAAACTAATAATTGCTTAGAATTGTACAAATTATTAATGGCAAAAAATAATTAATGATAAACAACAAAGAATTTTCGTTCAACCTTAAATCATATTTGTTTAACCAAAAAAATTTTTTTGGGGGGTGCAATAATTCTGATAATTAAACTGATCAGTCGCATGAGTAAGCTTATCACTATAATATAAACGGAAAGATAACGACTAACTTGTGTACAAATTATCATTCATTGTTTTCAAAATCACTTATTCCAGAATAATTTTTATTGTTATCAATTTCTTCAATGATCTCTAATATTTAAGAAAACTGTTTTTCTCCTAAATTTTATCAAGAATTCGCCTCATATCCCATTAGAAATAATTTCCGTTAAAATTGTTCTATACGATCTCATGAAACCGTTAAGAAATGGAAGAGGAAGGCTTGTGAAATTTTAAATTTTATTTCAGCAGATATTATAGAAATTTGTAATAATGCTTGTTGCATCATATCTTGTAATTAGTTTCTCGTTTTGGCAACTGGCATATACGACTGTAGATCAGAAAGGAGTTTGTAATTCGGGTGAAGCTGGTCAGCTTTGTGATAATGAAGCTAGCAGTGAAGAATGCACGAAAGTTATAGCTGAAGATCCAGACGTTGACAAGTAATTTTTGTTTTTGAGCAAAGAAAAAAATTGAAAAACCAAAACCTAAGCTTTTGCTCTTTTAAGAAGTTTTCTCTTCTACATCTTATATGATTAATTGATTTAATGAAATATAAATTTTCATGATAATTTTATTACAATTATTACAATAATTTTATTAATCAAAGCGGTTAAAAATTGGTGCGCTGGTGCAAAATCGAGTGCAAGTACGCTTGGTTAATTTAATAAATTTTCTTAGAAATTTGGTTTCAAATGATTGTTTTAAATATCCCACACTGACCAAAATGTGCCGAAAAAAATGCCTAAGCTGTTGCGAGTTACCTGAATACAGCTGTAGTGATGATCCTGCAAGTAAGTGCAAATTTATTTTATAATTTATAGAATTTGAGCGAAAATCAGTCGATTTCAACACTTTGATGTTTTCTTTATTGTTCAAAATACAAAATAAGTAGCTTTAAATAATAAATTAGCAATACCCGCAAAGGCCGGAGAAATCATTCCCACTAATGTATCGTTGATGATGGACGATAAATTCTTTCTAATTTTCCAATCTTTTGCTAAATAGGAAGAAATTTTAGGGCTCCCTATAGACTGTAAAACCGCCAGAATAAAAAAACTGTGCAATTCGACTAATCCAGCGATACGAGAAGCAATAAGAAGTGGATGTGCACAAACCTGCGGGCTGTGTGCCTTGTCCGGCTGTGTCGATTTAGATCTTCAGTTCTGCAGGAATAGCAAGAATTTGTGCAATGACTCGAAGCAGCACGAGTTTATGGCCCAAATGTGCCCACGGACATGTGATGCATGCCGTTAGTCACTTATTAACACTGAAAAAGCATTAAATTTTGGTTTGTTTATCGTCCATTTCAGGTTAGGTTTATTTCACTGGCTTATTGGTCAAATTTCTACCAGAGAGTAATTTGGATAGAAATAAAGGTGATTCGCCAGCATCATTCGGATTTTCGAAAGATAATTTATTCCTGCCTGGATCTCAGTACTCCATACAGGCTTCCCGAAATGAACCCATTGAGCCATTCAACTCCCATTCTTTATTTAAAATATTCTTCTTTAGTAGGTCAGTACTGCTGGTTGAGGGCTTATCGAGATAATTCATATCATGAAGTAGGAGAAATTGAGCTCCCTTAATATACTTCAAAAAAGCTGTGTAAATTGTTTCATCTTGAAACCATTTTAGCTTGCAAGGATACATTCAGTGACTGTGAATTATATCGAAATCTCTGTACTGACGAAAAATACATGGAACTAATGAAGAAACAATGTGCACGAACATGTAATTTTTGTGAGAAATGAATTTGTTATTAATCATTCGGCCAGTCTATTTATTATCAGTTTGACTAGGGGAAATTGATATGCCTTCACATTTTCTTATAAAATGCTTGAAAATTTCTTATCTTATGGTTTTGATTTTACAAAGAGTAAAAAAAAATAATGCCTAACTTATGATAACATTAAATTGTATTGTAATGAAAAAAATCATTAAAGTCAAATAATAAATTTAATTGTGCGCATCGGTGGATCATTGGCAAGATAACTGCTATCGGCAGATCAGTTTCAAATTCGCCAACACACCACTTTTGAACTTCCTAACAGAGAAAAGCATAGGATAGGAGAAAAGAATGGCAGAGTGGGCCATTGCTCAATTCGGAGCGCCGATGCTGAGGTTTTACTTCCGCAGGACTCTACTTATCCAAAGATCCGAATGATGGCGGCTCATGTACTTGTACTTCTACCGCCAATGGACACCTTGGCACATTTCTCTAATCCAAAAATCCAGCGGAACGAGTCTAACCAGTAATAGTGTATGAAAAAAAAACACACACATAAATAAATTTGTAGATGAATGTGTGCACAAATTTTGTTATCATCGTCGTTCATTTTCATCTTCCTTATTCCATAAAAAACAAATTATAAGAAAAGATTAAAATGATAATTTCATAAGAAAATGTGAATAAAGAAATAAAAATTTAGTATGCTTTTTATCTGATTGTTCAATTAAGCAAAATCTAAGATACAAAAAAAATGCATCAAAGAAGCAAAGCCATGAAAGATTTTCCAATTTTTCGATGTTTAATGCAAAACTCGTCTAGTTTTCTCACAATTCTTCGTCGGATACCAGTAGTGCATTTCATTGATTTTAGCATGGAAGATCTACAAGTAAGATACAAGAAATCATATAGCTGATTCTAGCTATACGATCTTGAAAAAATTTTTTGAATTTTGGCTTTAATCATTAACAATCATTTTTTATCCTTAAATCTACAGCAAATTTGCTAATTTGCGATTATTTTAAAGTAAAAATTTCTAAAATTTCACCCTTCTTTATTCACCACACAACCACATCACTCACTGATCTTATAGGGTTATGGAAAATTTTTAAACACAGAGATAAAATAAATTTTTTAATACAGCTTGAAGAGTAAACTACTTGGCATTCTTTTAAATGTAGGACGATTAATAATTAGTGAAATGCTGATAATCTATCGGTGCTTGGTGATGATTGATGAGCTCGATGACAGTAGGCTTTGCAGGAATGCACTATCGCTGTATAAAATCATTGCTTCAATTTTCTATCAATTTATTGCATCTTATAAGATTTTGTTATGCGAAAAAAATTCTCTAAGGCATTAATAGCCACTGTTAAATCAAGAAAATTAAAATTTTTTGTGAAGAAAAAGATTATATTATCTGTTCTATAGAGCTGCTTTGCCATTCATTTATGAGATCACTGAAAAAAAGAACAGATAAAATTAATATTTTATGATAAGGTTTCCTTTAGGATTTTAATCTGCAATTTAACTTGACACATTCAGCTTATCATAAATCTCTGAATTAATCTAGAAATTAGAATACTAAATGACTAGTGGAAATAAGATGCGTTGGTGGCTTAGTGTCACCAGAGAAGAGTCCGAAAACTACTGTTTCTCGGGATAATATCACCTAATGGAGCATAATTAACTCTATGCCCATTATATATATATATATATATATATATATATATATATAGGGTATTTAAATAAAGATGAGTACAATCATGTGTGTTTGTATTTGTACATGGATGTATCTTAAGCTCGAATGGTTAAAAATAGAATGTTTTTTAAAATCTCTCGCAGCCATATAACAAGGTTTGAAGCATTATCGAGATGAAAACACGAATTTTCTTTTTGATATTTCACAAGTATATTGTGGCCTAAATCTTGGCTAACAGTCAAACGCCATTTAATTTTCTCTAGTGCTATGTGTTTTATCTTGAAAATTTGCAGTTTCAAAAAAAAGCGAAAATTTTTTAATCCGATCAATTATAATTCGTTATTTCGTTTAATATTGAAATGATTAAGAAAAAAAGAGGCTTCTGCTGGTTCTTTCAGCTTAAAAAATTAAACGATAGGTTTTCATTATTAATTTATTCTAAAATTTACTCTAACGATAGGATATTACTATAATATTCTATTTTTTGAGATTATTTCCATGCAAAAATTATAAATTTATAATTTTATACGCTTTTAAGATCATTTATTCTATAATATTAATAAAGATAATGGGTTGAGACTTGATGGATTCGATTGAACCACTAATGACAATTCATCCAGCCAGAGAAGATGGCTGGCTAATCGAGTTTGTTACCATTCAGTACAAATGTAAATAGTTAATAATTAATATCAGTTCCCATATTTGCACTTACAACAAAATAAATTTGCTTGATAATCGAGTGCCAATTGGCTTCAACTAAGCTCAAATAATAGTTTGATATAGACAAAACGATTTCATTCATTCATTCATTCAATTAAACTATGCTTGATTATTATAATAAAAGTTTATACCAAATTTTCCTATCTTATTATTTCAATCTCTTTTTTAATTTCCTCTTTTAATTTTAATTTTCCCATTTTTAATTTTCTTTATTTTTTTTGTTTTTCCTTTTTCTTATTTATTGAAAAATTCAAAATAAAATTAAATTTTAAAGACTTTTTGCTTATCAACATTCATTGTTCCACGCAAATCTTATCCGATTTATCTACGCCTTAATCTGCTTATCTATTCATGAGTTTGTTCATGGTGACTAAGCTAGCACTTTTATTTATTACTCTATTTATGGAATTTTTATTTCTTGAAATTATTGTCATAAATTGTTACCCCTATTACCCTTATTTGCTTGTGTGCTTTTATAGAATTCACTTTTATCGAGTTTGGTTCGTATAAACAACCAATTAGTTATTTATTTTTATTAAATCAGTATTTATTACAATTTTTTATTGAAAATTGTAATTAAAATTATATTCATTTCATGTTTGTTTTTAGATGAAAAATAAAAGTTGACGCTTTTTATAAATTTTTCATGCAACATTTGCCAACGATAAAAGCATAATTTTTCCTAAAATATAGCAGATGTGTAGAAAAATTCAATGGATTAAAATAAATTTAAAGGCGGGTATAACGAAATGTAAATCAAGTAATCCCGCCTTAGAATGTTTCTTTTGTTAAACCTATTAGCCATTATTTATTTAATACCCCCGTCCCATCTTAATATTCGTTGGTTCTCAATTATAATAATACCATTCAAATAGCTTATGCCTTTCCAGTAGCCATTTTTCCAATTAGCTTTTATGTAAAATACATTTGTGAATATTTTGCCAGGCCAAATAATCATTGTCAATAGGATAGAACAGTATAAAATTAAATAAATTTTAATTAAAACTAATAAATTCTGCAGGTTGATTTCCATTAACTTTTTCTTATATTTCACACAGTTAAATTTCACAAAAAACGTTATCTGGAAAACAAATTACTTCCATGAATTACAAAATTCATTTCATTTCATTTAGGGTTTAGTTGTGCGGCTATGTTGCATGAAAATTATGGCAGCTAATCTTTTACATCTGTGCATCCAATTCTGTTGATTAATTTGAGTTAAACTGAAAAATCCTTTGAAAAAAAAATTTATCATGAATCTATTTTGTCATTTGACAAATTAGTAAAATTGCTGTGTTTCAGTTTCTGAGATAAAATTATTTATATTATAATGTGAATCAATAAATTTGATTAATTTTGTATGATAATAATTCAGGAATTTTTATTTGTTATTTATTAAAAATTATGAGATCGCCAGAAATGGACAAAAAATGAAAGGGTTTTACTTTCACCGTTAATAAATTAACATATTTGAACTATTTAACCTATTTATTTAAAACAACCTGAGGATAGAATGACTCATTGAGTTGTTGCTCAATTGGGAACAGGTGCTGAAGTTCTATTCTCCGCAGGAATAAGCCCTATTCAAAAATCCGTGTTATGCTGGCGACTCACATGTATTTCTATCGCCAAGAGACTGCCTGGCATATTGCTCAATATGACAAGCCAGTGGAGCGAGTTTAACCGGTAATGATGAGGACTCTTAAAAAAAAAAATTTAAATGTGCATACAGTTCGCAGATTTAATTTTAAATAGGTTATTCAATTCAAATATTGGATTGATTTTTCTATTTCAACATATTTAATATTTAATTTCAACATATTACATATTTTTATAACACCCTGTCTATTTAATAAATCTTCTAAGTAAAAGCGTGCATAGCCCTCATTTTGCGATGTTCGCTTCTTGCATGTTCTCTTACATCACAAAACATTTAAATGCTACTAAAAGAATAATCAAATGCATGCCATTAGACTGATCGTAAAATTGCACTTGTTGGAAACTTAAAATCAATGCGGTCGACTACAGTAATTGTGACATTATAAGACTAAATAATAATAATAATAATAATAATAATAATAATAATAATAATAATAATAATAATAATAATAATAACAATAATAATGATAATAATAATAATATGATGGTTTCTTCACAAGTTGAAAAATGGAATGTTGCAAACAAATAGTTAGTTATTTGAGGTCTGAGATCTGTACTTGACCATGAATTTAATAACTGAAGAGATTAGCAAATTCAAATATGAGCGATATGCCTAGAAAATTCCTTTTTCAAGTCAAATATGTTTTTCATTATTTGTTATTAGCTTGAAAATAAAATTAATTCGTAAATTGATTTATATTCCATGGATTACATAATAGAATTACTTAAAAGAAATGTTATAATGGTCGAGTGATTTTCAAATTGTGGAAATTCGCCTAAGTGCAATTTGTGTGATTTTGACATTACTCAAAAAATAAGTTCAATTTAATCTAATATAATCGTTTTTAGTGTTTTTATAAATTTTACGATTTCTCTTTATAACGAAGTTCGTATAAAATAACTGATAAAAAAATATTTTAGATATTCTATTTCTGACTTATTTTTACAGCAAATTTTCATTATTTCTTCTGCCAGAAATTTACATTTAAATTTTAATTATTAATTATTAAGAAATACCAAAACTGTACTACTTTACTAGAAGAAATCCTCTATATTCACTTAATCTGATTAACCATTGAATAATTTGTCAAGTAAATTACAATTGCTTAGGTTCGAAATTTATATTTCAAGTTGAATTTCAATAAGATACTTCAATCTTAAATAAGCGCTCATTGTTCTTTTCTTTAATTTTTTTCATATTAGCATTAAACTGTTTTAAATGAAAGAAATGACATTTAATTATCTTTCGACGAATTTTTTATTTGAAAAATGTCTGGCGAAGAATAATTTTTATGGACAATTTTCAATATGTAAATTGTGAATTTGTTTCAAAGATTATTCCATTCATTTCAGAGGTAGCCTTAGCCTTTTGATAATCCTCAGATGAGGGAAAAAAAATTAAATTTCAAGAATATATTACTGAGTTTCGTAATCGATTTACTGAAATTTTCATGGAAAACCGAACCAATTCATAAATAAAAACAAATGATAAAACATGATAATCTATAGGCGATAAAATGTAGGCAATTATAATTATGAACAAAGTGACACATAATTAAATGATATAATGCTTAGTCTACTAAAAGGCAATTCGCGATAAAATCATCAAGAATCTCGTAAATTTTTTGTCTCCCTAAATTATTACATTCAAACATTCAAATGAGACTGATATATCACAGATTTGTTTTACCAATAGGCACATTAAATCCATAGTTTAAAAAATCACCCTTAAAAGTAAAAACAACAATAGTGAAAGTTCCATTATCCCAAATCCTATTTATGACTCATATACTTATTTTTACCAGTGAATTTTGGTGTAAATTACGGATGGACTATAATGAAGATAAGATGAACTTATAAATATATATTTATTTTTTCACATAATTAACAACATTAATCCATTGTGCATGCTAATTCTTCCAGAAGAAATTCGAGTTTGCGAACCGATGAGGATATTCCTTTAAGCTGCACATAAATATGTCGCTTTATTCCTCAAGTTTCTATTCATCCATTATTTTATTTATCTTTAATTAAATATGTTTTTGCTTTCATTATTGGCTAATTTTAGCTGCATTCATTAAATGGAAAAAAAAGAAAGAGAACGAAAAATTTTTTTCGAAAAAAAAGAAGAAATATTTATAAGTCATCCAAAGGCTTTGAAGCCACATATTCATCGTTAAGTTGGTCGTGATTTGAAAATTAATATAAATTATATAAGAAAGTGAACAATATCAGATTATTGTTCACGCTATGATTGCAGTTGGGTTTATGAAAGTTTTTTAGAATAATTTATTAAACGAATTTTTCAAGAGTTTAAAAAGTTTTTTTCAGAACAGAAAAATTTTAGCTGAAAACCTTAAAACAATCGCCTTAGTTTGCCATTGCCTAAGGCTATAATGAAATTTTAAGCTCAATATGCATTTTATATCTCATTAATGAATGTATAAAGTCAAAATGTTGTAATGGTTTTTCAGAATGCTACTTAATAACGGCTTTTCCTCAAGAATCGCTATAAGCAATTGTATATAATTAACTATTCACCAGAAAAGAGGGTATTTTTAAATTAGATTCGGATGACGAAACTTCTGTTTTCTCGCCAGTTTTTATTTGCACATCGATTTAAAAATTTTCATTCATTTTCAAAAAATATCGTAAAATTTAATAAAATATTTAATATCGTAATGAGGAATATAGTTAGATAAAATGGAAGATATTTGGATATTTGCACTGTAAAGCAGAATTATTATTTATATCCTTATTATATTCTTCTTTTTCTTTTCTATAATTTGGTCAGGCTCGCTCGGTTGGCTTATTGGTCAAGGCAAATTTTGCCAGGGCGCCATTTTCCGATAGAAGTACATCTGGTTTGCTAGCACCATCTTGGAATGATCATTGTATTATATTATGCTTTTTAATTCATTGAAAATTTAAAAATTAGAATATTTCTTTCTACCGGAAATGCTATCCTAAATGTGAAGTCAACTATATTGCTATCATATTTTTTAAAAGGTAAAAATAGTTATGCGAATAAAAAAATTAATAAATTTAAATAAATAAATTTATTTGCAGTGCTGTTTTAAGATAATTCGTACCAATGACATCGGTTATTTTTACTATAACTATTATTTGTGCACTGAGCGTTTTTATAACAGGTAAAAATTTTTATTCGAAGATAAAACTTGCTAAGAAGAAGTTATATATTCCAATAAAATCTCTAGATAAATTGTCGCTGCTATATCACTTGATTAATCTATCCAGTGAAGCCTTATTTATGGTTACATAATTTTCAGTCGTAGGTTTTACTAGAATGGTTTCCCATCCGATCTGTGGTTTACTATGGCAGATGTAAGTTAGATGAACAGTAAAAGTATAGTAATAATTCAATAATCAGTATAAAATACCAAAATTTAAACAGAGATTGAATAGCTTCAATGCATTCAACTTTGATCCTTATGATTCTTACTGGATTTATAATTACTCATTCGCATAGTCAAAATTATTCAGTTTTAAGATGTCTTTGCATTTGTCTTGATATAATACAATATAGTAAACTGTAATTTTAGTAATAAAGAGAAAATGGCAAATTTAGATGCAAGTAAAAAACATTGATGAAAAATTCTTATGAGGAGAATTCCTATTTAGGTGTTCTTAAAGGAAGGAATGGATAATAATAAGCTTATAAATTTTCAGCTGTGGCTGAAAATGCATCTGCAAGTTGTACAACAAACGAAAGATTACAACGACCTTGTCGATGCTGCAAGATGTCTTGTTGGTATACCATTGCATCAGTTAATCTTTTTATATATCTTTTCTATAATTTCATCATGTTTAATTATATTAAAAATTATTTTAAAAAAATTGATATGTATTTTGTTAAGATGTATGTATTTCATGATTTTAAATACCTTTCCACCTTTATTACCAAATGTACAGGCAAAAGATGGTATTACAACTCGGATCACGGCAGCTGGAAATGCATTCTTCCGGTTGAGGAAACCTTTATGGAGTAGTAATGTAATCACCATAAAAACGAAAGTCCGCATCTACATAGCCGTGATCCGTTCGATCTTGCTATATGATTCTGAGAAGCGGATAAGATATCACATGATCGCATCCACTTTCGTTCAAATACCACTTGCATTAATAATATCATCATAAAGAGTCGCCTTCGCTGGTTAGGGCATTTCTCCGTCGTCCACCACAGTTGAGGCATATTTTTTTATTTCCTAAACCCTGTGATGGATGGCGAAATGAGGCAATCAACATCTGGACTGATACGATCAGAAAAGATTTTGAACGTATAGGTGGATCAGCAATATATGGACTTAGACGATGGAAAAAGGAATGGCTTCCATTACTGTCGACGATGGCATCAGACCGCACCGCTTGGAAATGTCTTACTTTTGTAGCCAGCTTAACCAGTAATAGTGAGAGGTGTTAGAAGAAGAAGATATATTTCATGTAACTTTGGCATAATAAATCGTAAAAAGCAAGTAGTCCATCGATTAAAAATATTGCATTTATTTTTTTATCGTTCATTCGTTGTTAAAAATGGAGTCTGACTGGAGGTGCGGACTTTCTTCTACACTTATCATCCCCAAGTCACTTTCGATATTTTTGATTTGCTCGAAAATAATTTTTGAGAGAGATGATGAACATTTTTAAGAAAGAACTAAATCTGTAAGCGTAATTTCTAAATTTTCAGCAACTTATAGAATTGTTGTATTTTATTCATTTTTTAAATCGTTAGGAAATATCAAATTCGTGGTAAAATAGTTTAGAATTTCAGGCAGCAACACATGAATTGGGACATATACCGGGACAAGCAGGCGAAGATGAAGCAATGGCGACCCTTCGACTTATTCGTACGTGCATGATTACGGAATGTGCTAGCGCTTGCGAAGCAAAACCACAGTTTCTAAAATTCACTCCGTTTATACCACAGTAATAATGTACTTAAACTTGTTTCTCTTGGATCTGCGCATTGTCTCCATAAAATCTTTCTCTAAATCGTGTTAAAATTGCACTTTGTGTTGCCTCACCTTCTTACCCTATTTAACCATTGGCTTGTTTCCAGTGCAAATTTTTTTGAGACACTTAGAAACTATAGTTTTTAAAATGAAAATTTTGATTAATTGGTTTTAACTTCTACTCACTTTTCTAAAAGTGATCACTATCTTTGATTTGGTTTGCTCCACTCTTAATTGGCGATAAAAGCACTGAGGAGATTGGATTGAAGGTAACAATGTGAAAATGGATCACTGAATAGACAAATCAGCCTTCGAGAATCTATAAAATAAAAAGTGAGGAATAGCAATATTTTTACAATTCATTTGGCACTAATAATTTAAAAAGTGCACAATGAAACCAGCGAATAATCGAATATTTCTAATTATTAATGATAATAATGCAAAAATAATAATAATAATAATAATAATAATAATAATAATAATATTAAAAATTTGGCAGTTGAAATTAGTCCAACTAATCCTTCACATCCTTCACATAGTTCTCCATATGTACAAAAACTACGAATTGGAATGCCGATAAAAATTCTCGATATTGAGATTTAGTAAAATTTTATCGATTACAAATATTCTTGAAATTTTCGCACTAAGCTGGAATCTGAATAGAATAGGAATTTCTTATATCGAAGGATAGTCTCTTCATTATAAATGATTAGAGTTTTTCAGTCATTGCTTGCTGAAAATAGCGTATAAATTATTAGTCTAAAATAATTTTGGTAATTTTTATTATACTTGAAATAATTTACCAAAAAGCCAGGTTAGCTTTCATTGTGAATTTTGTTTGACACTAAACGACTTTTTGAGTTCCATTATTTTTGTGCTATGAACATGAATAATTCATTATTTTCATGAGGATTCATTAACAGTTGGAATTAATTAATTAATAAAATAAATTTAAACATCATCATTGTAAATTCGAATAGATAAATATTAGAAAAAAGTAAAATAAATTGAGATATAATTATTAAGAAAAGAAATAATAAAACAACTATTTTAATTTTAATTTCAATGAGAATTAACGCACTGCTGAACAAAAATCATGTTTGATTTTCGTTTTCAACAAACTAGTTGTTTTTATATTTGCGTTGCATAATTCGCTAACCATTCTTTTCTGAACGTCAAGTGAACATCCAAAATGAAAATCTAAAATTTATATAATTTATAAATTTATAAAATTTCAACTAAAATTGCAAATATCTAAACCATCTAATCTTGAAAAAATAAAAATCCATAAATTTCTAAAATCCTTTCTTTCTTTCATTAAAATTTGCTTGACTAGGCATGAGAAGTATTAGTATTAATATAGTAATTATCCACATAATTAGTGAGGATTGCTAATTATATGGATATAATTATATAAATTCTAAAAAAAATGACCATTTTCAATCGCAGAATTTCAACTTGAAATTTACAGTAAAGTAAATTTCAAGTCTCAAATAAAATTACTGAGCAAATACATTTTAATGATAATGAGCCAAATGTAGAGAAAATGAGTTTTCCTAATTAACTGATTTTCATAACCAATTAACCAATTATCATTGGGTTATCAAATAATCCTAATGATAAAATGAAGAGAGATGCATAGAATATAATTTGCTTCATGTACCCCTTCGAATTGTTTTATTCAAATATTTACTTGTCTCGCATGAATGCTTAAGGCGCAATTATGTCGAATATTTTTATTTTTGCTCATTAAATTATGGATCATCTGGATGAAAGCATAAGCATTGACGAAAGCAATAACGAATAGTATTGATATGTATAGAAAGTATATAATTAAATTATAGAGACAAGAGGTCTCTTTACCAGCTTTTATTGGCATAAAATCCTATTTGTATGGTCATAATTTCAACTAATCTAAAACTTGAAAAAATTTTAATTTTTAAATAACTGATAAAAATTCTTAGACATAAACAATAATAAATATCTAATTAATATTTCCTAGAAAAGACCAATAATTTAATAGATATTTTCGAATCTAAGCAAATTTTTTTTTCTAAATAAAAAATTTTTTCTATAAAACGAACTTTATTAAGGTAAATCTAATCGCTGCCAGAAAATGTTATAAAATATTATAAAGTTTTCATTTAATAAATGAAAAATCTGTAATTTAACAGATGAAATATTTCCGCGATCTACCTCATTGAATTAATTTTCGTAGAAGTTTCGCAAATTTGTGCTTTATCACAAGTTTTGATGGGATTAATATGAAACTTTCCTCAGTGAGCCTAATGTTCGATTTTTCGCTTGGCGTCAAATACTATTTACTTTGCCAATGACGATTGAGCATTTTTTTTGTAACTCTTTTTTGTATACGTATAAATTATAAATTATATAAATCTATATAAATTTTTTACTCAAAATTTTGTCGTCCTATAGTCTTGTCTTTTTCGTTCTTTTCCAAAAGGTCCCTTTCCATGCAACATTCATCAGATGGTGCCTTTTTTCTATAAAACTCTTAATGTTCTTGATATTAATTCAGACAATAAATAAGAATTCCAAGTTCATTTGTTTTTCTGCAAACTCTTCATATTATAGCTTAAATAAAACATGATAACAATAATCAATTAAAGAATCAATGACTTATTTTAAAATAATAGAGGATTGTCCGTTGTTCGCATTTTACTACGATTAAGGAGCTTATATGCGTAATGTGGCTCACATTGACGTTGTAAAGGGTACCACTGAAACCTGAAATCTGACAAAATTGGTCCCATTACCTTTTGGTATATGCGCGTTCATTCGAAATATCTACAAAAAAGAAAAGTATGATCTATGAAATCATCTATGAAAAACTAAAAACCTTGAAGAAAGTTTCCAAAAAAATTCAACAATTTTTTTTACTTAACTGAACTACATTTGCTATGATAAAATGTTTCATCAAAAAATGCGAAAGCCGTTAACTAAATTTGTTCCTCCTATTAAAAATAATCACCTCATGTATGCAGTATGATTATTCTTGTTACATTTTGGATATTTAGCGCAATTTTCCGGAGAATCGAATTGATCGGCAGCAATATACGATTTTTTTGGTCAAAGATTTTTATATAAAGAATTCTTTAATACAACTGGTATAAGCAATTGATATAAGCGGAGGAAAGCTTTTTTCAGTAATGTAATCGCGACAAATCGGGTGATGCTGGCGACTCACCTGTATTTCTATCGCCAAAGGACTCCCTGGCTTATTGTCCAATGCGACAAGCCAGCGGAGCGAGCCTGTCAGCGAACCAGTAATGGTGATGATTTAAAAAAAAAAAAAAAATTTCCACAAATGCTATTCTCAATTGCTAAGCAAAATCGATGTTTCGCTGAAATCAAAACATTTTGTTAACTATTTTGTCACTTCATTAAACAGATTTTTTAGTGAACAATTATAGTGAAAATTAATAAAAATAGAAATACTTGAAAAATAATACTGAAACATACCGACAGCAATTTGTTCGCACCGTTTATTGCATGTTTTTGCTGAGCATGAATCGAACACCGATACATTTATATAGTTCCTCAGTTCATTCGTATACAAATCTCTCCGCGATATAGCATTACAATTTGAAACAAATTCTAGAACGGATTTGGTTTTATTGTTTACAATTTTAGTTACTGAGACGATAAAAAAATTGGTACTTAGCCATTCTTATTTATATTTTTTAGGATTTTTTGCGATGAGGAATACCAAATAGGATCTTCTTATAGCTTTTTTTTCTTTAAAAGTGCTCATCATTTGTGATTAGGTTCGCTCCTCTAGCTTATCGGACCATATAAATTTTGCCAAGGAGCTAGTCCACGATCCATGTGAGATGCTAACCAGAAATAAAGCCCCGATATCGATGCTTTGAAATGAAAGGAACAACCTACTGAACCATTCTATCCCTCAACTTATCACGATTTTATAAGTTGATTGATTTTTTTCGATATCTTAATTGTGCATTTATTGTCAATAGTTGTAAAATGGTTGAATGCTTGATAAAATCAACGTTCCAAAAGCTTCAGTGAAGTTCGGCCAAGGAAAGGTTTTCCAAACGAGCTTTGCATTCCCGGAATTATAAATCTGTCTTTTAGTATTACTTCAAGCATGAATAATTCTCCTTTAATACTTTCAAATTCCCACTATATTCTGTCGACTTCATCAGCCACCGTTTTCTAATTTGAACCTGCGAGAAAAGTAACCGCAATGTTCGATGACACCTTAAGAGAAAAAATGGGAAGTGTACTATAAGGGTACAAATGCGTTTGAAAAAAAAATTACTGACCACTAGGATAAGTATTTTCAATATAAGATAAGTTTCAATATAAGTTGTTTGGGGATAGAAAAATAACTGGGTCTGCAATATTCGCTCATCTCTTTTTAAAGAGAAATTTGCTCCCGCCAAGAAATAGGAATGAAACTCATAATGTTAGGTTTTAGGGAAAGCAACATACGACATTATAGTAGTCTTTAGGGGATATCGAAGAGTTTTTGTATAGAAATTTTGGGAGCATTATAGCGAATTTAGGGGGTACTGGGATTTCGCAATGTGTAAGAAATTGAAACGCACTCTTAAAAAGTTAAAATTGAATTGATTGGATTGGAATATTTATACAGTTTTTCAAAAGATGAGGGACCATAAAGGCGTGGGTTTAAATAGCACCAAAAGGTTCACCAGTGGATTTATTAGCAAATTAGTAGACCATCATTTACTTCGTTCAGCATGATTGAGCTTCTGGCCTTGGAAGGACTAAACTTTATTAAAAACATGAATTAAGCGATCACCCATGTTTAAGTGGCTAGTGAAAGATTTTCTTACCATTATCCATTGAAACGAATCTAACCAGAACTTGATAGAAATTTCGAAGAACCTATAAGTTTTGGAGGAAAAGATTTTCTACGGATGCAGACAAATCCACGCATTATTAGCAGCACATCAAATTACCGAATAAATTTACCTTTGGTACAAAAGTTAAGAATAGAGTATTCGACTCGAAAATTCTTCTTAATACATGAATGAAAAAAATGAAAAAAAAAGGAAGTGACACCTCATCTCAAGTCCGAAATTCGCTTGGAAATGATAATTTATTGATTTTGCGCAATTTACATGGATTAGCATTTATATCATTATCGAGTCTTAAACATTTTGAAAGAAGAAAATATGGGAAAGGTTAAAAAATGCCTCAAGAAATTATTCCATGAATGTTGATAAGAGGATTTTAATGTGAATTTTCCCTTCTTTGTAATTTTAGACGCATTTGGGCTTATTTTTCAATAACTTGAAGAAAGCATTAGAATAATAAATCCACAATCCAAAAGCAATATATTTTCTGGTTGCAACCAATTTTACTTCACTAAAATTTTACTTTCTCACTGAAATTCCTTTTTCCTTATCATTAATTTTATCCATTTCCTAGATAAAAAAATTCCAGCAAATAAAACCTACTTGTATGACATTGAAATAATGCCAGTTCATTCTTTCGGGCATACTGAAAGAATTAGATGGCGATTCCATATTCAAAAAGGCATACAATTGATCTGCATGCCTTTCATTTGGCATTTTAAGCGGACTTATATTTCGATTATGAAAAATAATAGCGCCAGCTAAGAGATATTTGCTTAAATAGAGTTCATTGATAAGAATATTATTACATAAAGAGCCGTTTGCATTCGTTGAAATCGTTGATTCTCACTTCTATCTTAAGGCATAACTTTTCAACTTAAAAATATCTATTAGAAACAAAAAATATAAAAGGAAAAGTAAAAGTTCTCTGAGGACAATCTGGAAAAAAGCAGAGCATATACCTTCGATCAGTAATTATTTTGCATTTGTATTTGCAATTTCTCATTGTTCTTATTAAATATTTTTTTCAAATTCACTTGGAAAAAATTATTCCATTTTGATTAAAATTAATAAATTAAATTTTATTGATGGCTTAAACTAAATAATATGAAAAATATAAGCGAATGCACCATTATCCATACAATGTCACCTAAAGTAAAATATTTGATATTTGAGTTGATGTCATATAGAACCTGAAAACTTAAATTAACTTGTATATTCGCATTATGCCTCCTCGGTCGATTAGTAAATAACTGAAAGAATTTCGAAAGTGGACCAGAATAATTCGCAACAACCACATAGAAGGTAATTTGTATAAGTCCGGGTATAATGCATGAAAAAAGATAATGAATATGAACATTTAAAAAACTAAAAATATTAATTTTAAAAAAGGATAATTTTTATCTATAATTTTTGCTTTTTGAGAAAAGCCACAGACTTATGATTTTCATTTAACAATCCTTCCTACAAAATGGTTGCATAAAGATGCTATAAAGAGCGATTTTTCTCACTGGAGAACATGAAAAAAGCCATACTTTCCTTACTTTAATGAACAATCCACCAAATGAAAGAAAAATGAAATAATATGAATTTACATTGAAAAATTTTATTAATTTGAAATGTTCGAAATAACTAGCAGAACGAAAATTATGAAAGTAAAAACAAAAGAAAATATTTGAAGAAAAACAAAATCGAAATGAATTATGCCGAATATGAACCTAAAAAAATTATTTGCATAAAATGATAAAATGACAAATGATAACAATCAAAATTCGTTTATAGATCATCGCCAATCGTATTAAAAATTTTTCTAAAAATTTAAAAGCGAACATTGTCAAAATTTCTAATAACGAAAGCAGTGAAAGCAATTAAATGTTGGAAAAAGTGAGAAAAGGGGGTTTAAGGCAAACAATTGAACTTATTCCTAATTATTTGACGTAATTTAATCGACTTCACGGTGAAAAAATTTCGATGGGCACTTAAAACAAATATTTGATCACATATTGCATCCATAATTAATTCATTTTAGAGACCCATTATTGTTTCTTTATACTATAAACCTTTTTTTTGGTCTTCGTTGCTCAATTAAAATAATAAACGAACGAGAAACAATAATTTCATTAAAGTATTATATAACAGTCGAAAATATTATTGTAAAAATTAAATGAATTGCGAAGCAATCATAAAATTGGAATGAAAATTCCATAAAAGATTAAATTTACTTATCACATCTATTCCATTTAATGAAATCGAAATAATTGTTAAAAATCGGACTGTTTTTTTTTCAATATTTCATCTAAAACGATGAAAATTTATGATAATTTTGTGTTTTTCGATCTTTTCATCACAAAATTGATTAAGATTTTCCGGCTAAGTCCCTTGAATTCATTCGATGCTTGTTTTCATTATTATATATATTAAAATATTTTATAATATGCTTTGACCTTCTTTAAGGCCAAGGAGAAGTGAACCAGCATAATTCATCAAACAATGGCCTTCCTTGTACCACCACGATTCGAGATTTATAATATGAGGTCGATCCAAGCCTCGATGTAACATTTTGCATAGTTTACAAAAGCCATCCTGTTCAGGTACAGCTGTACTTTTTAAATGGGTTCGAGTCCATTGAAAATATCTAAAATAACAGAATGATCCTCTCTATGATTAATACAATTATACAAATGAGGATTCTCGAAAAATAGGAATAGAATGGAAACTTTTTGAAAAAGTAAATAAAAAAGTGAAAAGTGGCATTTTTTTTCCACAGATGAAATACTCACTTCATGTATTCAGTACGATTCTTTTCAAGATATAGTAGATAATGCGCTAGATCCTCTGGAGATAAAAAATCGTCTGCAGCAATAAAAGAACCAGGTGGTAAGATTCTCTTATAAATTGATTTCTTCAGCACGATAGGAATTAGCAGTTGTTCCATTCGTTTAAATAATTTTTCAGTGACATAATCACGGCATACGCTATTTTCGAAAGCCAAATAAAATCTGTGTTGAGCTATATCTAATGTTACTTCTTAACTTTATGGAAGCAAAAACTTATCCGATAAAAGCACAATATAATAAATAAATGCTTCCTAGAAGAAGGATAACTCAAATACTTTTCTTTCTTAATTAAATCAAATATTTTTGGATCGAAGAGTTTTATTTCCATGACAATTGCCTGTCCAGTTGCTGTCCAAATCACGTTAAGGGAATATTGTTCAGCTAGAAAAGGCAATTCTTTACAGTCGCATTGTAAAGGGAAAAAATAGCAAAAGATTATATCTAAAACAGCCAAAGAATAAAAAACATACCGACAGCTTCTTTCTCACAACTATCATTGCAAAAATTTTGTGTGCAGTAACCGTATCGAGTAACATTTATGTATTTCGCAAGTGCATTTACGTAATGCCTTCTACCAGACGAAGCATAGCAGTTAGAAACGAATTGTAATGCTGATTTTGATTTATTTGTGACAATTTTTTCCACCTATGACAATTTATAGCAAAACATAAAAAATAAAATTGTATTTTATAAATATGAAATGATGAAATAATTTAATGAATTAATGATCAATTATTATTTTTAAATAATTCGCGAACAATAAATTTAGCATCGCACAAAATTCTTGAAGTTCCTTTCGTGCTTAGTTCATATATGAGAGTGATCCTTAACCTGAGCTGCAAACCACTGCCGGATGCAAAACGATGTTCTAAATCGAAGGTCTTCATTCCTAAGCTGGTAAAAGGTTAACTCGAATGAGAAGCATTATGGAATCGTTGAAGCCGTCAAAACCAATATACCTATTTGGACGTAGTACGTAATTCTATTAAGAAACATGGTCATTAAAAGTGGAAGATATCAGGAAAAAAATTTGCCGTAATCATTCCTGCCTAAGGGATTCCCGAGCAGAACATATATTCACCTTCCCTATGATACCAAATGCACTGACGGTAACTCTGTGTAGCGTCTCCCTTTAGGTCGTGTTCTTCGACAACCTCAGGATTAAATGTGTTGCCTTGTAAAATCTCAAATGTGGACTACGTAAAAAAGTAAGGGATCTGAATTCACCTTTGAATAGATCAAAAGAGATTTTAAATGCCGACTCTCGATTTGAGGGCTTGGGTGCTGTAAAAAAATGCGGTTTCAGTTAATTTGTGCTATGGCACCAGATCAAGAAGTTCACTCCAATAGCCAGTGAAATTAGTGAATACAAAAATGACCTCTTAAAGGCTGAGTACAGCAGTCAAAGAACCAGTCATCATCTTTTGAAGATATACAGTAGTGCTGTCACATCTTATTTTTCACCATAATAGGTTCATTAATAATTAATACAATAATATGAACTATAATATCAATACAATAACTGATTTTTACTGCCCGATCGATCCATTATAACTTCGTGCATAAGCGATTGCATTTGACTCCTATAGTAAAGAAATAGAAATAGTACACTAGAAACTACAAATACAGAAACTAGCATTGTTCAACAAAAAAAGTCCTATCATTCTGCATGATAAAACTAGATCGCATGCCAAAGAATCATATTGCACAAATTTGCCGAATTGAAGATCGCAATCCATCCCCATCTATCATATTCATCAGATTTCTTCTACTTATTCGCCTTTTCCGGCAAATTTCTCAAGCGAAACACTTTTGAAAACAAGGAAAATATCTTGATATTTTCCAGCAATTCATTTGTTTCAGATGTTCGGATTTTTAAGTAAATGGGACGAATGCACGTTGACAGAAGTCTATTCATTATATGTATATATTTCAATTAAAAATGATTTTCAATAAAGCTTTGGTCTTTCAGAAGCAAATGGCACGAAAAAGCCCGAAATTTGCGAATAACCAAATATTAATATTATATTGAATAAATTACGCAATTTTTTATTAGAAGCCAAAATTATATTTTAGAAAAAGTCTAAGGTTGACGAGTTTAAAGGTTATGAAAATCTCGTTTAAACTAATTTTAAAAATATAAATGATCATATAACAATAAATTTTGACTTTCTAGAAAAGTATGAAGTATGAAATTATCATATTACAAATGTGAACGCAGCAAAAACTAGTGGAAAAATTAAGGTTACCTGTTCCCAAGCCCAAATATCTTGCTTATCAGTTGAGTTATCAATCTTGCGAACTGCACCATATCCCGAAAAAATATCGCTGTCTAGCCTAAAAAATGCTAAGGTGATTAAAAAAATCAAGGACTCTACACCACTTTACTTGTTATAGTTATTGGTATTGAAACTTCGCCTTACAAAGTATCTCATCAAAGGAACACAGCTTAAACAGCCAGGTGATAAAATTCTTGCGTATTTGCGCCTTAGATTCGTGAGAAATATTCAAAAATTTGAGGATATCTTCTAAAGTTGCAAACAACATGACACCACCACTTACCTATAGGTCATTGTTATATTAAAGAAATTGGCCAAAGCATGTGCCAAACGATTAGTGTTAAAAGGCGATTCCATATTGAAGAATATATACAATTGATTGGTTAGCCGTTTTCGGGGCAATTTTTCCATAAAAGTCTCACCGATATGAAAAACGATGGCTCCAGCAGATAAATATTCTCTTAAAATTTCAATAACTTCAATAATTTCAATATTAAAGAATTCTTAAAAGTTTTGCATCAAATAAATTTTAAATATACCTTTTATTCCTCAACACCATGCATTTGTATTTGCAATTTTTAAGACTTGTTTCAATAATATCGTTGAAATCATTGCCACAAAATCTTGTCCAAGCGAAAATGCTCGGTGAAAGTTTTATGGCTGCCTGAAAATATTAAAAATATTTCATCTTTTTTATTTGCAATCGAAAATTTAAAAATAATAAAAATTTGCCTTTTTTTACTGGCTAAGAGAGCAAGAAAAGAAATTTTTCAGTTCCGAACTATTTGGTCGCCAATAGTTTTTTCTACTTATATATTCAACAACACAACTATTTAAAATTGAGTTTTTTAGCTCTTTTGTTCTGAAATACGCATAAATTTGAAGAAAATGATTGTTTTACATTACGTTTCCATGGTCGAAATCGAATTAGATCAGTTGTACTTAAAGAACGATTAATAAAATCCTTGAAGATATGATAAAACATTAGTTGTATGAATGCAATAATAACGCATAGATAGAAATAATAACCGTAACTATGCATCTAAACGGAGCACAAATCTAAAACAATGAAATTTACCAAAATAAAATAGAAATTTTAACGGCAATTTTTTGACAGCCGAAAAAGTAAAATTAACTACAAAAAAATTGAAAATCAATGGAGCAGTAATCAGTAAAAACATGATCGATCATTTCCGATCATCTTGCCTGGACATAGGGATGAAAGAAGATTTAAAGATCATAGATATGAGGTAACTGAAGCAAACTGTCGCATCATAAGGATTTAAAGTCAAAGTAAATGTTAAGGCAAAGTGATAAATGGAAAGATCCTCTCGGCGAATTTTTAGAAAACCTTTGATTGATAATAAAGTAAAATAGACTATTGATGAAGAAATAATACGCCAATGATGACTATAGGAAAGGTTTTTTTTTGGAACTAATATAGCCTAATTTTGGACAATTACACTGAAAAATTACATAATTCATGGATCACATTTTGGACGAACTATTAATACAAAGTTAAAGTACAGTGCGATGCGATTTAACAGTGAAAATTTAACGGAGAATTTAAAAGGCTGGAAAAGAAAGAAGGAATTTGAAAAAAGGAACCGAGCAGAAATTTGAATCAGCTTAAAGCACACTGAAAATCATTGACTTCAACAAAATCTCAAAAAAGTATTTTTGAAGCCAAAGGCATTTCATTTCCTCTTCAACATTGTATAATAATATTATATAATTATTTTAATTATATTATATTAATATTATATAGTAATATTATAAAGTAATATAATATAATAATATTATTATATTTAAAAATATTGTTTAGGAATATAATTCATTTCCCTCAAATTTCTTTTAAAAATACTTTTTTTTGCACTATGCAAGCTATATAATGATGCTCGCCATAATTATAGTGATAAGTAATTATACTGATAAGTGAATTATTTTTTTATTCAATTAATTTTTTCAACTAGAAAATAATTGCTTGAAATAAATTTGCAAAATTTAGGTGAATTATTTAAAATGAGTATACAAACAGGTTTTTTTTTTAGACCATTGAGACTAATTTTTTTTTATTCATTTTATATTTGCCAATTATTTTTATAATAAAATTTCCAGTGATATGGAGAAATCATTAAAATAAATCCTAGCCGCTCAGGAATAAGTGAAGGAAGTATGTAAAAAACAATTTTTAAAGCAACGATTGGAGAAAATATTTAGACCGATTAATAACGAAATTTACATTAATATAACTTCCGCTAAATAAAAATACATATGAGAGCATCATTCTGCGATAATATGGATGGTTTTATTTACACAACTGAAGGGGTATGAATCTGGATCAAATGTGTGAAAACTGCACAATAGTCTTGCTCAAAATGATAAATAATTTATGTGGAACTTATATATCAGTACAATAAAGTTGTTTTAACTATGACTGGGTTCTTGACTCGAAGGAGAGAAATAGCCAACATAGGTCATGAATTAAGTTTTCTCCGGATTAGGAAGTTGATTTTTATTTTATTTTTTCACATCTATCTACGAGATACTTAATGTTTGCGTGTCATATTCATTGTTACTCAGTGGGTTATAGCTCAGTTCGGAATTTCCCACAGCGGTAAACGTATCCGAAAATCCGGGTGATGTTAGCGACTCACTTTTATTTCTATCACTGAGCGACTCCGTGGTATATTTGTTCAGTGCGACAAGACAGCGGAGTGAGTTTAAGAAATAGTGTGAGGACTCTTAAAAAAAAATCTACGTTATATGTTTGCGTGTCTTATTCATTGTTAAAATGGGAAACACTCAATACTTTCTTTTTATTTGATAGGTCAAAATTTTGGACCTCCGGTACGATATTTGTGGTATTCGTCAACTGATCTTTATTTTTTCTTTATCTTTTTTCGGATTTTTGCATTTCATGATGAACTATTTATGCTGATTGCGAGAAATTGTTGACATGCTCTCTTTTCACTGGTCCTTATCATGTATCCTCTCACCATAATCTCATCATAACCTCCAATAATTTCATAACCTTCTTTCACTCTCGTATATATTCATATGGTCGAACTATTTTTTCATCTACGAGACATGTGCTGCACGCAGATGACAGAAATACCAATAGAAACTTGTAAAGATTTTTGAACTGATTTTTGAAATGAAGCTTGCATCCGGTTATTTTCTCGAAGCTTCTTCAAAATTTGCAATTTAAGATTTAAGTTTCAAATTCTGAAATTGAGAATAAAATCCAATATTTCATTTTATCTTTTTCCCACTTTCCAGTCTCTAACAGTCTTTCAGAAGAGCAAACCTGTCATAAAATCTAAAATCCGAATAGCTAAGTTAGCCTTTCTTACCCCAAGTCATGTGCAGTTACTAACCGAATGGCTTACTTTCGCTTCAAAGAGATTTTTATGTAGAACTATAAATTCTACCAGCATCTTTCTGAAGAGACATGCTCATAGTTATGGCAGACTGCAATTCTCGCGTAATATGTCAATGGTTAGTAAATACAATTCGATAATCGATATTCCAATCAAAAACGTCGGTTTGTCGAGGAGCACACCGTCTTTTTCTTACAAATTAATGCTTCCGAAGACGTTTGGTTACATGGAACTTCCCAAATAACCAGGTATAGAACGCAAAAAAAATATTTAGTGAGAAAAAATAATAGTATTAATTTTCCTTCATAATTTAATTATACGAAAATAAAATATTATTTCATTAAAAACGAAAACTTTATTTATTTACAAATATATTTTTTCAAACTATTGGTGACAACAGATCCAAATTAACTTAGCCTGATAAACTATTGATAAATTATTTACATTCATTATCTTTATCATGAACAATGAAAATAATCTAAAAACCAAAATTAGTATTAATGAAAAGATTCAAACATGTTATAACAAATATCTGCGATTTAAAAAACGTAAAGAATTTGGAAAATTCATACACTTTAACAAGAAAACATGAAAATGATAAACTTAACGTGAATTTTTAATGCATTTTTATATTATTGTTGAGTAAACACTGATTAAAAAATAAAACAGTTCTTTGAAGAATAACCAAGTGAATCAAGTTTTGGCAAACAAGCATGATTGATCATAGGAGGTGGACCACATAACAAAATTGCAGTGGTGTCGCTTGGTTTAGGAAAATGGGCTTGAATCATTTCGGTAGATATAAAACCTGAATTACCAGCATAAATAGAAGAGAAATAAAAATAACAGATATTGCAAGGTGCTAACACTAGGACTTGAGTTTGGTTAATAAAGGTTAATTTATTCAAATCCTTCTTTAGTTCAAATGGTAATATCCAACGAGATTTTTCCGAAATAAAGATTACCACTGGTCTCAAAATATATTTTATGAATTACAGATTTGTGAATTACGAATGCATAAGGGATAATGCTGTGATATACTATGATCGAATAAAGTTGTTCGGAAATATACAAAAAACTGACAGTTTTTCCTCTTTTTTCCTACTAGTTCTGCACTTATTATTTGCGCTTATGGCAAGAAATAATCATAAGTACAAAAAAAGATTTTAATTAATTTCCAAAATAAGTCATACCTGATGAGTATTTCCAATCCAAAGGTGGATTATCAACAGTATACCACACTTTAAATTTAGTCGAATGTGTTTCAGCTAGTTCATCCAGTTCTTTTCTATAAAAATCGCAATCATAAGCCAAGCAAAGAAATAAAATAAGCAAGGGTGGTTGCGAATCAACAGGAAAAGCTTCACTAACCTCAACAAGATATCATCTTCACTTTTATTCGCGAAAATAAGAGACATTTTTGTTGTATCGCCACTATCTTTTAGAATTGCTTGAACGACCTTGAATAATTTATTGATAATAATAATAATAATTGATAATAATTTATTGATAGAAAAAAAGTGACATGATAATTCAGAATAGTTCCACATAAACATGAATAAATGACTTTTTATTTTAAAAATAAAAGGAAATGGAGAAAACAAACTTGTAATATAGGTGTTATTCCGCTGCCTCCTGCAATCATGCCCAACTCTCTATAATAATGTTCTACGGGTATCGCAGCTTTGGATGGTCGTACTGCGAATTTCCCTCGACCTTTGTAGATGATTAATCCATTAGGGCCACGAAAATCGACAGTATCACCTTTAAGCCATAAAAATGTATAAGCCAAAAAGAACATGAGCAATTATATAAACTGCTAATACGCAAAACAAACTGAAGAATAATTGAACTAATTGATTTGTATAATGCTAATAAGGAGCTAAAATCCTAATTGGTTCTTAAAGGGTTAAAATAGTGCAAATAATAAAAACAATAACAAAAAAATTAACATTTTTATAAAATCATCGCTATGCTCGCAAAAACTAATGAAGGTAAGGAAAACAAAGAGCTTAAATCTCGGAAAATGAATAGTGAGAATATGGTACATTATGAAAATTCACTGCAAATTTGGAATTTAATGCTGTTTCGAAATTAAGGTAAAAGAAATATGTTCTGGAAAAATATGGACAAAATGTAGAAGGAAGACCAAATTCCCGATAAGGTTACGATGAATAGAGCACTCTCTGCTACCTGCTATATACATCATAATCTTTGCAAAATGAATGTCAAGAAACGAGAATAACTTCGAACTCACCATGACGCTTCATGCTTCATCGAGGAATAGAATTGGTAAATGGAAAGTGAGAAAGAATAGCTCAATGAATTGTTGTTCATTTTAGCGAGCCAAAGCGGAGGTTATATGCTTGGCAGAAATGAAAATCAGAATGATGCGGACGATTCACCTGTATTATTAATCGCCTCCCTGGCGATACTCTGGTAAAGTTTGTCAAGTCCGACAAGCCAAAGAAGAGTCCAACCCCAACCAGTTACGGTGAGGCTCTTAGAAAAAAAAAGAATATAGAAAATGTTAGTCTAGAATTGATGAAATCTGCATAAAAGACATCAGAAAATGACTACCAAACATCTCATCCAATTCTTTCATAAAATCATCGCTGAATCAAATTTGAAGAAATCAAAATAAGACCATTTGATAGGAGAGGATCTTTTATGAAAAAATTTTATAAAAAGCAGTTTGACAGCCGATCTCAAAGATAGTCACAACCAAAAAAATGGAAAATATACAGTTTGGAACCTTGAAACAATGGGACTATCTAGGCCTCGATAAAGATTTGGTACGAAAAATGATTTATAGCCTGCAATTTTTACTTTTTCAACCCTGAAATATACCATATATACTTAAAAAGCCAAGCTAGTTTAATTAAATCACAAGGAATCACTTATTCACTTTGCATTTAATATTTAGGGCACATAAAATGTTTCAAATCAATTATTATTGAATAAGAACCTCAAAATCTCAATAATATTTTTTCTATCAATGAAACTTGATTAGAATACTAACCTACATTAAGAGAGTCAAGATGCTGTGACATCTTGCCGCCTTCAGGATATCTTGGATTAACGTCTTTGAAGTAAACTTTTACTACTAATTCGGTATAACCCTTTTCATCTTCTGATGTTACTGGTGTATATGGGCGAACAACAAGTTTCCCATTAATCTAAAAATATATAATAATCCACTTAGTGAATGAAGAACTTTAGTAATTTAATAAGGAAATATTTGAAAGCAAAAAAGAAAAACTAAAAATAAAATCTTAATTAATCTTCACAGCAAATATTTATAATTTTGCAATTTGTTTGAGAAAATAAAGAAACATTTCATTTCAACCTTATCTGCTTTATTTCTCAAATCTATTTTTTTTATTTCAACCTAAATTTTTTAGCAATTTTTTTATACACATAATTTCTCTAGAAAAAAACCGAATTTTTCCAAATTTTTTAAAGATTTTACTAACTTTTGCAGAAAGGAAGACATGCTGCCCGACAGGCAACCCCAATGAATGCTTTTCAGATGGTAGCTTGAATCGGAATCGACGTGTATCATGATTTATTAGCTTTTTGCTTATTAAAGGTAAAGCATATTTTTCTTCATGATCTTTCAGTGTTATCAACTGAAACAGCAAACAATCAATGAAACGTAACAAAATTTCTGCAAATAACCACTCCCTCCTGATTCCCCGATAATAATGCCTATAAACCAATAATATTTTTTTCCTTTTTAAGAGTCTTCACCATTACTGGTTAAATTCGCTCTGCTGGCTCGTCGCATTGGACAAATATCCTTAGAATCCTTTGGAGACAAAAATACGGGTAAATTGCCAGCATTAGTCGGACTTTTGGACAAGTTTACTCCTGCTGGGAATAGAACCCTAGTATCGGTGCTCCGAATTGAGCGACAACCACTAAGCCATCCTATCTCCATAAACCAATAATATATATTCATCAAAACCATAAAGTATTTAAAAGTGCCAAAAAAAGCTGAAAATTTGAAAGTAATCACGATATATTTTAATGTTTAATGTTAATTAAAATCTTAATCTTTTTTTAATAAATAAAAATAAAAGAATGATTTTAATTAAAAAATAGAGAAATCCGTAGAAAAAACAATAGTATAAAAACGCTAATTGTATAAAATTAATGATATAATTGCATGAAAATTGATAAAAGAAGAAAACCTTATGCTTTCTGCAACATTTTCGCCCCGATTTTTTCCAGAAATAAAAATAAGCAAATGAAACGGCAATCACCACTGTAGTGCTTGCCAATACTAGACAGAAAGCTGGCTTATCAAACATACTAAAAATTTTCACATTACTTATAAAATTTGCCAAGTGAATTACGAAAAATACATTGATATTGGGTCATAAAAGAAAAATTAAATCAAAGTTCGAAAGAATTTCTTTTTTCAATAATTAAATGAAAATAGAGAAAGTACAATTAGATTTAAGATGCTTAATGGAAAAATTGCTTCTTTTCAAATTCTTATTGAAAATGATCTGAAATTAAGAAAATTAATTTGTTAATATATCCTAAAGCGAAATGCAAAGAAAAAGAAACGATTTTAATAAAAATATTCGAATTTAAAATTAATTAAATAAAATTAAAATAATTCTAGTTAATTTGCAATATTTTATGATTCAAATAATAATACAACTATTATTCGAACTAATAAAATAGAATAATAAAAATAATAAATAACAAAAATAAATTTTACATCCAACAACACATTAAAAATTTTTGCCTCATTTAATAAGAAAATAAAACTGATTCGATGAAGATTTTCAGCACAATTTTAGTATTAATAAACAACAAAAAAGATATTAGCAAGGCTCAAAATTAAAAGAAATAAGATGAAAAATACCAAAGAACACCCCCTTCCCCCCCTCCCCCTCACCCCATCCCACTCCACCCTTCCTTCCACAGAATAATCGCAGATTAACTTGAAATCCGCAGCTGCAAAAAAAGAGATGATAAACTTTTGAGTAAAAAAACGAGGCCGCGGTCGTTTCGAACTTGGCCTCTAAACGATCTCAAATTTTGTAGTGGATCTACTACAAGAAAATTGGTGCGCGAACTGTTGTATTGCAACTATTAAGTATTCTATTCTTGTATTTTTCATTTTTAATAATAATTTTATTATTTTAAAATGATATTTTAAGAAATTTCCCTCAAAAAAAAATAGCAAAAATATTAGTAAAATGAAAGTTTCCGAAAATAATAATGGACAGTACGGTCGATAGCAATGTAAATTGAACACCAAACATTGAATCTTTTTCATTTTCGTTGATTTTGGTTATAAAAATTTTGCGAAGCATCGAATAAGCTTAGTGGGTCGTTGCTGAATCCGATACTGAGGTTCTACTTCGCGTAGGAGTAAATCTATCGAAAAATTCGGATGATGCTGGCGACTCATCTGTCTCGCTCTCTCTCTCCCTTTTCGTATTCGTCAAATGCGATAAGTCAGCCGAGCGAGTCTAAGCCAATTATGATGAGGGCTTTCAAAAAAAATTAAAATTTTCTAATTTTAGAATTCCTACTTTATAGAGATAAAGTGATCGAACGTAGTGCAGCAAAGTTCAAATCCTTCTTTTTCCCCTATCGGAATAAACCATCTAATTCGACATCCGTGAGGATTTGCGATCTGCTGAAACGTCTAAAATCTTGTTCTATAAAATTTTTTATAGTTTAAATCAACGAAATGAAATAATTTTAAAATTTTAATTTCCGAAAAAAACTTAATTTTTTTCGAAACAAAAAAAATTTTTTTCTTACAAAAGCAAATTATCGTTGAGGAAATTCGAAATATTTATAAGTATAAGCGAATAAATTTTAAATAAATTAAAATTTTAAATAAATAAAAATATAAAATAATAAAAAAATAAATTTTATTTAACCATACGAAACGAAATGTTTGATTAATTTTCAAGAAGGTTTCACATTAATTTTTGGTTTCACATTAATTCGATTATTGCAGAGATCATTTTGGTTTTTCTCCATAATTTTCTCTATAAATTTTTTTTTTTTTGATACTTATTTGTCAGATGTTTTTTCTTTTTTTGCTTAAAAATATTCGATTTACTTGAAAATAATTGCTAATGTGATGGTTCGAATATAGAAAAGTGCATGGCTAGGTGCATATTGAAAGGCCGTCAGGTTTTCAATTCGTTATTTGGTATTTGATTTCGGTTTCGATCGAAGAGCGACGAGGCGTCTCGCAGAATGTGAAGCATGGTTTAGTAGAAAAATGTGATATATTGCAAATATTATGGTTTGGTTAACTTGTATTGTAAAAATATTGTTAGTCAAAAGAAGTGAATTTGTAGAAGGATGCAAATTTAAACAATTTATCCTCGCCTGATATGTTGTCTGAGGATTTTCACTTCATATCCAATTGATTCTGTGTTGATAACCGTAGAATGAAATTTCCTAGCTAAACTATTGTATCCTCGATTTAATGATCGTTTTTTTTCCACCAATGATTGCAAAATTCACGTTAAGAATGTTTTACTTGAAATCTAATTACAGATTCTTTAGAAGCTTTAAAACAGCAAAAAAAACGACAACAGCATGACATTTAACTGATTCATTCCTTGTTGAAGAAGTGCGAAGCGAAAACTGAGTACATATTCGTGAAGGATTTTTAAAACGAGAGCATAATTCATTCACTTGAAAAAATTGAGCTGTTCGCTTCTGTTCAGTTTTAGATAAAAACTGCTCAAAAAGTATTTGGCAATATCTGCAAAAAAGCATTCAGTATTTCAGGGCAATTTTTTTCTTTCTCAATGCATCATTTTTAAGTGTACTAAATAGCAAAAGTATTAATTTCCATATAATTTAATAAAAAAATATTTTATTTAGAATTTTATTTATTATTTTATTTAGAATTTCGTTTCCACTTAAGTTATTAAGTTTTTTTTTTTAAATTGTTTTAATTCTATGATAAAACTTCTCATTTCGTCTTCTTCCGAAGAATGAATTCTGCCCATCGATATAACTCTGATAACTCATAATAATGATAATTCGCTGAATTTGTTGAATCGCATTTAAGGTGATATCGATGAAATCTCATCATTTTGATGCAGAAAATTGATTTAATTTGAACTTAACTACGAAATTTTCCAAATTGTAAAAAATTCTTAATAGATTATTTAATCAGCAAAATAACTGAAATATTTAAAATATATTGAAAAATTTTTCAGAAATATTTTCTGAAAAAAGAAATATTGCAAATATAAATATTGTAAAATTTAATAGAAAATACAATTTTATTGGATGAAATAATAAAACTGCAAATAACAACTGCTAAAAAAAGATGTTGAATTTTTTTCAAAAATGTTGGCAATCATGGTAGTGGAATTTGCTGTTTGCATAAATAATCGTTTTTGGTGTTTGTATAGCCAACCTTGTAGTCCATCTGACCTATAACGAAAGTTATTAAGAATGTTCTTTTTCTCTATCTGCCATCTATCGTATCTCCCATCGTTATTTATAGTTTGCTTATACGTTTATTACCAATCATTAATTTTTCGTTGGTTAAGATGTGTTGTTTGATGTGACAAAGGTTGTTGCTTCCATTGTTGTTAACAGTAAATTACTTTGTTACTTTGTTGTTTATTGTAAGTGATTAGTTAGCAGTTGTATTTTCGGATAAAACTCGATCCATAATTTTTCCAGGAAATCATTTAGGGACAAAGGCTAAGATAGATTCCCAATATCAGTAGGATTTCTCAATGATTGATTTATTTTATGCTTCTAATGTACTTAAATTGGCCATTTTGATCCATGAAAGATACTGTAGAGTGCAAAAAAATTTTCTCATTCTTCAAATTATTTTTATCAACATGTTTTTACTTCTCTATCATGAATTCAGTAAACATGGATTTGATTTATGAGTATGTTTAAGCGATGCTATTTTAATAGGGAAATTTTTTATAAGATGGGCTTCTGGCTGCATAGACCATTCGCGATTATATACGCAATTAATTTTGACAACAAGAGCGCAAGGAAATTGCGTAATAATTGTGTGGTATGGTGCGTCCATTAAAATATTTCCAAAATTATTTTATAACTTTAGTATTAATATTATATGTTTCACAGTTTATATATATATATATATATTAGACTTTGAGAATTTTGAGAATAAAATATTTTAATGTAAAATTAATGTAAAACATTATCCAACTTTTAAAAATTGTCCATTTATTTTTCATATTTCATTGGAGATTTTTGTTTGTCACTCTTCACTCTTCAACTTCATTTCATTAATTTTTTTTTTCATTTTTTAATAAATTTTTTATTCTAATAAAGGAAATATTGAAAAAGAAAAAAAAACGAATTTTAGGCAACTAATTTCCCTACTAATCACCATTTTCGACATGTAAATATTTCTTCGATGAATCGTTTATTTTATTTTTAAAAAATTCTGTTTTTTAGATACAACGAAAAATGTCAAAATTATATAAAACTCTAATTGCTATTTTTATATGTCTATCTAGTTCATCTTTTCGTTCGATTTCATCACTCTATTGCTATCAAGGAACGTCAGATTTAGCCAAAAGGCCAAAAAATTCGCTCATTTGTCCGCAACGTATTAATCCTTTAGCAACTTCTTGCATTAAGATTATTACAGATCATGCTCTTGTTATTCGATACTGCGATGAACTTGGCTTTTGTACCGTAAGTTTTCAATAATTTCTGCCTCTCTTGATCAGCGAATATATAAATTCGTTTTTTTTTTCAGCAGTTTCAACAAACTGCGCATTCTTTATTTGCATAAATACTTCTATTTAAACATGGAATCGTATTCAAAATGGAGAAAAAAAATTATTCATAAAGAGATTTTAATTCAAAAAATTTTGGGCTGAACAATAAATAAAACCAGTTTGAAAAAACATTTTCTACCATAATTTTTTTATTTTGGCATAGCTAAAGGCATCACTTATCGTTAAATCAGTGTAGTAGAAGCTTAAGCTTAAGCAAAAAAAAATCTATTCAATCAAAAGATTCAGAAAAATGAACAAAGAAATCAAAGCACAAATAATTAACAAACTTATTTATTCAATAGTAAAAATTATATAAGCTTGTAAAGCATCCTTTTATGTCGTTCGTTAAGCTCGTTAGTTGTGCAGACTTTTGAGGAAAAAATGAGAGACTAAACATATTTTCCTCACAGTTTCGAAGAAAACTGCTAGTGGATTATTCTTTAAGTAATTTAAAGTTCACTAAAATATTTTTTTCAGGATCGTCGAAGAGAAAAACAATGTTCAACTGATGTCTCGTATGCAAAACTTCATGGAATTGTTTGTTGTTGTGATAATGATTTTTGTAATTTTTCGAGCAGATCGAAGGGAGCCTTCTTTTATGTGGTTTCTTTAATCATTCTTTACATATTTTTATGATATTTTGCCTCAGTATTTTAATAAAATATTTTTTTTTTTATGACCATCACAACCATTCTAACTAATATCGTTGTTTCAAAAATTTGCTATGTAAAAATGCAGAGAACTAAATAATTCGATCTTCAGAATTGATTGGCAATCAGCTTTTAATAAAACGCTTTGTAGATGAAGTTGACATTGCTAACATTAACTTCACTAACTTCCATTTGTTTTTTTTTGAAAGTCGAGTTTGAAAGTCGTTTGAAACCGTTCGTTTTTGATTTTATTGAGAATTATTACATATAAAACAATCATGAGAAAACAGAATTCCAAAATTTTGTTTAGCACCATATTTTGTAATAATGCTAAATGTCCAAAGGATGGATAATGGATAATAATGAATAAAAGTGTTTCTAGCTAATTTCAGCTTTTAAAAAAATAACTTCAAGGTTATGCAAAAGAACCATTTTAATGCTAATAAATAGACGAATGAGTGATTTTTGCTTAGTTTACCATTTTTCGCATCATTTTTGCTCCCTCACTCAGGAACAAAACTTATTATTAAAAAAATCCAGCAAATCAAATCCAGTGGCCAGTTGTACATTTCTTTTCAAGTGATTCGCTTGCGAAATTGTCTTATTCTACTAACAGCCAGTGAATTGATCTTAAATAGCGAAAATAGCGAATGCTTACTTTTATCACTTTATCACTTTTTTTACTAATTCATATAGTCCTTAATTACCGCTAGTTTATTATTATTCCTTGTTTAAAAGTTCACTCATGAAAAAAGCCATATTATGATTTAATTGTTCCAATTCTTCGCCTTGTAAATTTGTAAAAATTTTAAACAAATTGATTTAGACTGATTGAAAAGTAAAAAAAAAATATTACAGTTTTTAAGCAAAACATATCGCACAAAATGAAAAGCTCAAGAGAAATTTAAACGAATAAAAATTCATTCATTACGATTAATATATTAATATAATAATAAATTCTTCAAATAATTATAGCTAATCGAACAATATTAAACAATAAATTTGACCGCATTAAATAATATTCATAGCATTTTTAGCGAATCAACATCGAAGCAACATAGAAAATTAAGATTTATACAATTCTAAGGCAAAACGATCACAAAAATTTGCATGAAAGGCAATTATGCAAAAAAAATTGATGGTTATAATTTATCAAGGCAAAAATAGGAATTTAACATTTATCTTTTAAAAGTTTGAAACCTATAAACAAATAGAGATCAATATTTTTTCATTGTTTTCATTTAAAATTTTCCTTAAAACATTTTTCATCATATTTTTATCATATTTTTTCAATGCGTTCCAAGAAGCAATAGCTTAAATAAAAATAACGACCATTTCTGTACCCGTTGATAATTTAGAGAAATATTTTTTTATCAAATCTTATCAGTCAAATATACCTTCTCGGGCGAATAATATTTAAAGAATCTGAAGCAAAAACATTGACCATGGAGAAATAAATTACGATCAAAAAAATTTTTTAGAAAATTTAGAAATATTCGGAAATTTTTAAAATTTTTTTTTATAGCACCGAAATATGAATTGGGAGAAAGTCTTTGAGCCGAATGCATTTCATCATTTTTGGCAAAAATTAATTTTATCCTTTAGCTGATTCCAACAATCGTTCCACTTAGCCGGTTGGAAATTTATTTAAAAAAGGAAATATCTGACAAGTATCTGATAAAATCACCGTTAGATTGGAATTAAAGAAATTTAATCAATTACTAAATCTAAATGAAATTGCGATAAATAAATGAAAGTAACTTCATGGAGCTACGTTACTTACTGAATAATCATAGCCAATCTTCTTTATTACGATGTTAAATACGAAATTTCCTATGATTGCAGTGCATTGCAAAAATATCCTTGGCACGAAATGGTGAAGTAATAAAGCAGAGACTGACCATATAATATTAGTCCTCTTAGCATTCCCTTGATTTATGAAATGGTTTAGATAGATGAGCCTAGAAATTTTGAGCCTCATTCGAATCGAATCTAATAGCAAAATTTTTCTAATTGAATAATCAGGGCTCGATTCTTCGATCCTGAGAGGAATGAAAATGTCATTACAACCCACCTTACCACCCACTGTTATCGTCGACCATCTCCTTGATGAAAACTTCGGACCATACTAGCAGATAGCGGGATTAGCATAATTAGAATAATCACGATGTAATATACCCTGAATTTGCCTAAATTTAAATTTTTATTCCATTGATAAGATGGGCTAAAGGCTTGAAATTTATTAGCCACTAGTAATAAGTACACTTTATCAATATTTTTAATAGAAAATTTATTTTAATTGCCTAAATTTGTGAAAAACCTAACAACAATATAAGATAATGCATCGTAAACAAACATCAACTTGTTATTCGTTGGCACAATAATCCAAATAAGCCTTAACATTGACTAGGGCATTATCATCAACGAATCATTAATACCCGTGTATATATCGACATCAGTTAAATCGTCACATGGATTGGCAAGTGTCGAGGTGTCGAAGACTAGCTTCCTCGGTATAAAGTTTTTACGACGGCTTTTGCTTGCACTCGGTTGACACTGTTCTAATACTTTACATTTACTTTCAACTGAATTTTGAGAATCTGAGGAATTATTCGGAAAAGAAGACTGTGGATCAACATTTCGATTTTGCGCAATGCAGTCTTCTGTACAGTGAAATGGTGATTGGACATTTTTCCCGGAAATTGGCGAAATTTTTGCTGAAAATGAAAGTGCAGGTCCAAGCTTCAAATAGAAATCACAACTAGAGGATTTTCCGTCCATAAATGATGAATGAGAAATTTTAAAATGCTCCTTGGTACAATCGCATTTTGATGATTGTGAGCTTTTTGGCTGAAGACTAGATTCTGCAAGTCCTAAAGGCTGTCTGGAAATGCCAATCGGTGAGGAAGCTGGTGGGGCATTTGGTAATGTTACCAATTGTATATTATTACGCTTGATAAACCTTGCAATCCAACCCTGGAAATTTGAGAGAATGAATTTTAATGAGATAAACAAATTTCACGATCTTAGAACTTAGTGGAGCTTAGTGGATTTTAGGACTTAATTGAATGAAAAGCCAAAGTGGCAAAACAAAGAATTCACGAAATATAAAATACAAATAATTGAAGATTTGTAATTCACAATATTATGGAGCACTGATACTGGAATTTCTACTCGCCGTTCTACTAGCAGGAAAAAACCCGTCTTTCAAAATGCTCTTTCAAAATTATTCGATAAGCTAGCAGAGCGAATTTAAACAATAATCTCAGAAAAAAAAAAAAAATTTACCATATTAGCAACAAAGTTTCGATTCTTCAAATCAGGATCGTGATCGCATATTTCCGCCCAAATGCTATTTGCTTTGTCCTTTAGTGTTTGCCATGTTAAAGGTAAGGATTTTGTCGATTTTGCTGATGCAACATATTGTAACTAAATTCATGGATCAAATTTGTTTCTTCCTTTTAAAATTTAGAAAGGATTTGGAAATAAGAATTATTTTCATTTTAATCATGATTTTATTTTATACTGTGGCAATGAACTCATTAAATCGAGGATGTCCTAGCCTTTAATTAATTTTACTTAGATACCTCTATATGAGATCTTAATGAGAAAACCTCATCGATTGCCAAAGCAAGTTTTCCCATGAAACTCATATTTTCTACGACTAGATGATTAAACATATATCCAAACTTATATATCAATCGAATGTAATGGAAAGGAATGGAAGATTAAATCCCTCCATACATTAAAATTAAATTTAAATTGGAATAGAATAGAACATGATTTTTCCGAATTTAATTTCAAATTCAAAATTCTCAATTTGTACACCAAGGCATCCTTCCAAATCCAACGAGATAGAAAGCATCGGATATGGCTTAGAAACGTCTTATCCTCATCATCAGTGGAGCGAGTCAAGCCAGCAGTGGTGATAGCTACTAGAAGAAGAAAGAGCAATTCAGATTTATTTCCAACCGGAATGCTGAAATTCAAAAGAAGAAAGCCTTCTCATATATCGCCTGAAGACAATCCAACTGATATGGGGACTAGAAGGAATTTCACCCAAGCAATTCTTATTCCACAATCTATAGTGGAAAGAATCGGATTGGTGATCAAATGATTTATCCAGCCGATCTTAGCGTAAACTTTCCATATATGTAATAGTTGTTGGAATAGTTTTGCGAACAAAGCACCAATAACAATATAATTTTCTCTGAAGCTAAAAATGTAATTATTTAAACGAAAACTCATTCTAACTACTGCATTTATCCTTGGGCTTCTTAGAAAATTTATGAATTGTCTAGTTTAGATCAAACTTATCAGACGCTAATCTGCAAGTCAAATCCAGTCGTCAATCTTTTGTCAAATTCAGTTACACAATCGACGAAAAATATGAAACAATGGAAGCTATATTCAAACTAAAATGCTGTGCTATGTTATGGAGGATGGATTCCGAAAAATCTGAGCTATCTCCCTCGCAACGATCGCGAAATTATTAGTTCTCGACATATAAAATAATATTGACAATATCGGAAAATTTCATATTTAACGCAATCGTGTAAAAATTCTTAACAGAATAAAAGGTGATTTACAATTTTAGGAATTAAGAAATAGAATTACTTGGTTTCTGAACGACTGAATGCAAAAATTTTGAAATAACCACCGATGCTAAATCTTCTCGCATGCACGACACAAATTTATCATCCTCTCTATTCTACAAACATCGACTAATTCGCGTAAAAAATGTGCTAAAAAGAGATGTAACATTTACGGGCCTAGTGACTCAGGCAAATCATTAAAAAATCGTAATTAATCTATTTGCAGATACATTTCTTTAAAAATTTCGGCGAATTATCTCTAGACGAAATATGCCTAAAAATTCGATCTCAACATGCAAATTTTCAATTACATCGAAATTATTAGAAAAATTGGAAATGGAAGATTCGAATATTGAGTGAAAATTTATTATAGAACGAACACAATCTATGAAAGGCTCATTAGAATTACCAAAAATTCCATTAAAAAAGTAATTAAGAACAATTGTTGCTTAAATGAAGGAAATTATTAATGGTGGACCCATTAAAATAGATTTCATCGCATCAGATCATTCGCAAAAAACGCCTACATAAGATATCGTAGCACATACCCCAACAGATTATCAAGAAGATTATCGCTCAAAGAATGCGCAATCTAGAAAACAACTTTTATAAATTTCGGCGAATTATTGCTTGATGAAATATGCCTGAAAAATCCTATCTGATCACGCAAATTTCCAATTTATATTGAAATTATTCAATTTATAGAAAAATTGGAAATTTCACAGAAATGGAAAATTTTTGTAAATATAGGCTACAGAAATTTCGGAATTAGTGGTATTCTGATTACCTGAACATATTAAGAGAAAAATTACAAAGCACACGCTCAGCTATTTCAGCCTCCGAAAGAATTATGGATATTAGAACGCATTATACAAGTCTTTATAAGAATCGCACAACGAATAGTCAAGAATTACATCAATAGAGAAATTTCCTTGCTATATCCTTAAAGATAGAGTCAATATATGACATCAGCAAGAAATGTATTTGGTCCATGATAGCAAAGACAATTCCCTTCCTAAATTGGCAATTAAGGAATTGCCGAATTCGAAAAGAGAAACTATCGCAAACTAAAACTAATTTTTTTAGCCTAAAATCGAATTTTTCCTCTTAAAATGAGTAGTATACTAAACATTTTCAAATGCAATCTTCTCCTCCTAATAGCACTTACAATTGCTGGTTATGTTGGCTCCGCTGGATAAGGTATTTCCAAATTAACCAATCCGATGCCATACCTGAGAGTAACAGAAGCCACTCATTTTTCCATTATCGAAGCCATAGATCGCTAAGCAATCTATATGTTCAAAATCTCTTCTGACTCTCTGTCAGTTTTAGTGTTGACTGGTCCTCTTTACTTTTGATGCCATTCAACACATGGCTTAGCGCAATATGTGTTAAATATTCAATACTGTAACGCCGAGATATGTCTAGAAATGAAATATACAGTTATCAATTTCTATTTGTTCGCTTCAAAAACAAGCATTGATTCGATTATCGTGAATTTAGTCCACGAACCAAATCCTCTCCATTAGGAAACAATCGATATGATACAATACGTTTTAATTGCCTTTAACTAACAAACTGAACTTGTGGTACCAATATATGCTCCATTTCTTTTCCTCTATCTTATAAGCCTCTTCTTTTCCTCTATCTTATAAGCCTTGTAATCTTTACATTAGATTCCCATCTTTCCGAGTATATGTATATAGGATGTGAGAATGTGAGATTATACATGGAACTACATGGAAGTATTCAGTATTGTACTGTACCGTACCGTATACCGTATATTATATAGTTTCTCAAAGCTTTAATATTATTTCCTCACCATTTTTCTTCATATTTGCGCATTATTTTTTCCAATTATTATAATATTATTCGACGCTATTAACCATTGATTGAAGCCGGTTTAATTTTTTGTGGCGAATAAAATTTATTTTTTAATCATTCGCTAGGAAAAAAATGGATACTATGAGCAAACTTGTGGTAATTTTTTTTTTGCATTTATGAACCCATTCATTTCCGAATTTGAATCTTATTAATCGACTGTAATAACAGAAGGAAATGTCATTACTTATTAAGAAAATTATTAAAATAACTACGGAAAAAATCAGTGTTCTCTTATGTGTTTTAATAATATTATACCATTCACCATTCATCAGATGAGAACAGTCTAGTATTATTAAAATATAAATAAATATAAAGTACGAGGTCAAGCAATTGCTTAATAAACTCAACAGTGGAACAATTAGTCTCTTAATGAACAACATGAAAGATGATTTCCTATGCATCGATTCATAAGTCTATTAATTATGTCGAGAAAAAATAATCACTTTTGATAAAAAATTGCCATAATTGACGAATATATCGCAATTTTTGAACAAAATTCCAGCCCCATCATCCTGCAACAAAGCAGTATTATGGTCACTGGAATTTGAACACATGTAAATAACTATTCACTTGCCTTAATTGGAAATTAAAAACTTAATGGCGACTCGAGAGAATGGATACAATTCAAAAATAATTTTCAATCTATAATCTCATTGGATTCTACAGATCCACAACAAAGAAGTGGAAAAGAAATTAACAGATTCACATCACTGAAGTGGAAAAGGAATTGATAGATGCACACATATAAGTGGAAAAGGAATCGAAAGATTCACACACATAAGTGGAAAATGAAACAACACGATAATAAACCGACGATACCAACAAAATAAGGCAAATGATAACTGGACAAGAGTCGCTAAAGAACCGACAGAATTACTCAAGGAATGGATAGACCCACTTGCAACAGGCATAAATAAAAGGACGAGGAAAACGGTCCAACCTCAACCGCTTTTACAGTAGAAGTTCGGCGACACCTCATAGACCCAATCGGACCTAATTAGTGCTATTAAAATTCATTTTTTTCCACCGCTGTTATAATATGTATCCTCATATTTTTATTTTTAATCTCGTATTCTTTTGCCAAACTCGATAGAAATACTTGCTTCAGTTCCCTCAAACTTATTAAATATATAAGACCACGCCATGTTACTTTAATAATACTAAATCCTGTCTTTCGCTGGAACCCATTTATACAATTAAAAATCCTTAGAATCCTTAGTGCGCGATAAATGTTAGTCCGCATTACTTTTGACGTCATATCCTGTGGAAAAATCTTGTCAAATTTCTTTAAATCTTGCTCTAACCAGTTTGAAATCCTGTCACACTCATTCGCCATAATCCATTTCTGCCTCCCATTTGTTTAAACTTCAATGCATTAAGACCTTGAAGGAAGCCACTATTACTACAGCTGGAGTTATGAGTTGTAAGCTAGAATCGTGGTGACTGAAGCTATTAAAGCACTATAACTCGTATGGGAATTTGACGAAGGTGGAAGCAATATGACAGTGCTACATAAAATTCTCAAGGAAAAAAATACGAGTTTCAAAAAAATATTAAGGGTCAAGTCAGGGTTTAATAGGGTTTAAATCCTGCTCGTCCCCTAAGATAGCAGCTTTCTCACTAATCTATAATGATTCGCAAAAGCATGCATTGCATGTCTCAGTTATCTAGTTGGGTTTGTAGGCATTTATTTATATATTCTGAAAAACGACAACTAATTCAAAATTTGAAAATGGTAATCAAAATAAAAATGTTTTATTACCAATGCTTTTTCTTTCTGGATTTTGTTTTAAAGTTTAAAAAATTTCTTTTCAATTAATATTACAATTTTTTCGTCATTTGTGCTGCGATTAGTTTCCTCAACTTACTAATCGACAAAAAAAATCGTTGAATTATTCTTGAATTGAATTATTTTGATATTATCATTTCCAAATTCTAAGAATTATAGAATATTTATGAATAGTGATAATCATCTGATTGATAAGAATGTGCTGAAAGTGATAACCGAAAAATCTCTGCTACTACAGTTTAAACAATTCATAGCACAAGCGGCGTGATTTAATAATGTTTGCATTCGTATATCGTTAAAACGTAAAAAATACGATAACAACAAAAGTGTACATAATAAATTTTGTGCAACTAAAAACAGATTCTGATAAAGGACGAAACTAATTTTATACGCTCAAAACGGGAACCAACTTCGATTTGTGAGAATAACCTGCGATCCATCCTAATAAATTGGAGAATTGGAGAAATGGAACCATCCTATGAATTACAACCACCAATTTTACAATTCTCATTATTTAATCGCCGATTTACACTAAACTAAAGGTATATAAATGATTTCTTCTGCTGCTAGCTTTTATATCTGATAAAGAAAAGCAATTAATAATGGATGAATAATTAAAAATTATATGAATAAAGGGAAGGAATAATTTAGAATTCGACAAACTAGAATTCTGGAGAATTTTAGTCATTTAAAAGAAGTCAGTTGTGGCTGCAATCTTAAATTATGAATATTTGCGGAAAACTAACCAAATTTTTTTCGAGATCGTCAGATAATGGCCAATTTCCGACATCGTCCAGTCTTGATCTATCAGCAGCTGTTTCAAATATTGACCTATTCAAATAGTATAACAATAATAGAAAGGATTATTTATTTTTTAATATTTTAATATTTTAAAATATTTTTATATGAAAATTTAAAATTCGAAAGAAAGAAAAATTCTAAAACAATAGTATTTACTCAAGAAAAATTTAATCGATCACTTATTATCATTTGTTATAAGAAGTTAATTAAATGATATATCCTTGTGAAAAGATAGAAAGAAGCGAATATTGAAAAATCATTCTGTATTATGGAGAATCTTCTAAGAAATATTTGAGATGATTATACATTGTCTGTGAATGGAAAAAAAAGAAGTGGTGAAGAAAATTATAAAATGTCTTTGCTATGGAAAAATGTCACAATGAATGAAAATATGCAAGATTATAGTTGGAGGACTTATATAAGGACTTACTAACCAAATGGAAATATCCGTCATTAATAATTCAAATATTTGTTAAAATGAATTTACTGAAAGTGCCCACTTTATATCAAATTGAATAATGCAAATGACAACAAGATTCCAAATAGATTTCTGCATTCTTGATTTAGCAAGTCTTATTAAGATCCAGAGGTTATCACAAGCATTCAGAAAGTCGTTTAAACAAAACCGTAGAATACTTAGTAATAAAAAAAATATAGAGGTTAAAATAATTATCGCAAAATATCTGTCATTATCATTATTTGAACTGATTAACAAATCTGCTGACTGTTTTAAAATAAGACTTAAAAAAAAAAACTTAAAAAAAAAAGCAACAACCTTAGACGATGTTCATTCTTTCGCCACTCTCTTATGGAGCTCTCTGCGACGCTAAATTCTCTTCCAGCTGCCCGATTGCCTATTACCTAAATAGTTGCAGTCATAACTAAGCACATATATTACTTATAGCAAAATTGTTTCCTCACAAATTTCCTCCAAAAATTTCAAAGAATTTGATAAAAAATAATATGATTTGTTCCTATGCGCTATAATGCACTAATTAAAAAATTTTTTTTTTAATATATTCTACAAAGCAAAAATAATTTCTGCATTTTTAAGTGTACGATTTAAGCCACAAAAGATAAATAATAGAATTAATGAAATTAACTTTCGCATAATCGATAATATCCAATTTCTCTTTTAGAACGTATTGTTTTAATTTTCTTCCTTTTTGTGAAGCTTTTTCGCCATTTTTGCCCAAAAATGGTGTTTTCTAAATTTTCATTTATTAATCATTGTATAAAGTAAATAATTGCGACATGAAGGCATCTGCTATATAGATAAAAATAAAGCAAATAATTTGACTTCAAATGCTACGAAAAAAACGAATTAACTATCGCTGATGGCTCACTCTCTTATTTTGCCGTCGTGCATTAAAAAATTTCATATATTCTATAAATATAAGATTTTGAGAGATTCAGATTTAAAATCCAGTAAAATAAAAAAATTGTTGACATAAAGTAACTTTAATTGTAAATAATGTTGTAAAAGAGGTTTTCAACTGAACAATAGCAAATAATATAACAAAGAATGAAAATCAGTATATACTTAGCAAATTTGTATAGCAAATTTTGCAATACTAAAATGTTCAAAAGTAGGAATTGTTTTTTTTTTTTAAATTTAAAATATATCAAATCTTCGCACATTGGCAAAAAAATTGCAATTAATTCCAATTTAACTGATCTTTTTTGGGCCTAAATCACATTAAATAGCAAATTTCAATTAATTTACGGCCTAAATTTTTGATTTATAGAAATTTAGGCAATCTAAATTATTTCCAAATGAGTTGCCTCAGTCGAATCGAACCACTTTGAACATATTTTATTCATATGCGCAACCCACTGGTTGCAATCAAAAATAGCAGTGATACCACTATTTGAGATGAGCGAAGAAGACGAAGAATTCATTATTTACTTTTCGCGCAAATTGATTTTCGTTTAGATTACTTGACTGCTATATTCATTCAAAAAGAATTGTAAAATAAAATAAAACCATGACGAAAAATTAACAATTAAAGCGCATAATGCAAATATAATCAAATAATTCGATCAATAGCAATTTCCATTATTATAGCCAGTAAAAGCAAACACAACTGGACGGATTCGACCGTACAATCGAGGAAATTTTCATATTTTCAGTCGATCGATATTATTTCCTTAGTTAGAAATAAAAGCACGAAATAGTAATAAGCATAAAATAGTATAGACTATACTGTAGAAAATTTAATTCAAATAATTATCAACTTATATCGATAGTTTTATAATTGAAGATTTGTATATTCTATCCAATCAATCAACGCGCAAAAAAGTTTCTCAAGTGGCCAACAATATCACTACAAAATAAAAACAAATAGAAAGCAGCAGGGATAATTAATATGCATGCACTTTTTATGTGGAGCCTCTGGCAAAACCTATCCGTTACCATTGATTTCTTGCCTGCTTTAACCCTGACTTTGAACTTTTTCAGTAGCACTGCCAGTCTTTTTTTTTAATTTTATAAAGAATTTCTAATTTAGATAGACATGCGAACCAGTTAAAGAAACAATGAAAAGCTTAAGAAATCCAGAAAATCAAATATTCTTTAGACAATATCGCATCAGCTTCAACTAAACCGTATAGCGATATTATATTATATTATTCAGCACCTTTAAAAAATTATAAATTGAATAATCGCGTATTTGTTTCGTATATGGTTTGTTACTGCGAAATCCGAATGGCGCTAAAGACCTACCTATAGTTCCATCATCAAGTGGCTCTCAATAAGAAATATTCAATGGAATCAACCAAATCAAAAAAGAGGAAAGTAGGAAAAACATGACAGGGAAATGGAAGAAAATAAAAAAAATTTTTGAGGCAAGCAAGGTAAAAGAAGAAAATTTCATTGATATTAAGTATAAAACAATATAACAGCTATAATTCATCAAAAAAAGCACTTTTTCAAGTCTGTCGAAGCCGAAAGGATAAAAAAAAGACTTTAGATGATCAGAGCGAATTCCTTTAATAAAAACTGTGAAAATACATTTATATTCCAATGATAAAAAAAACATTTAGTGTATAAGCTTATCTTATCACCCAATCTTATTATATGTTAATTTACAACGGGTATTCATCTAAAACAAACATTTGTCAAAATGACTGCTATGAACCATTTGGGATCCATGGTGACTCTGAATCCGAACAAATGTGTAGCAGCCAAAACTCGAATTAAATATTTATTATATTTGAATGGTAATGTAAAAAATCATTTTTAATGATTATTTTATAAATTTTATTTAAAAATCAAAATTTATTGATAGAAATATTTATTAAATATTTTAAAATTCTACAAAAGTTGAACTGAGGAAACCCGTTGAAGAAAAAAAGTTTGCCGATCACTAATCTCAATGAATATTTAATTTTACAGTAATTAATGTGCGGAAAATTTCTATTGTAGATAGAAATAAATTTCTGAAGGAAAATAAATACATTTACCTTTTTAATCTTAACTGTTGCTTGAATTGAGCTTTCATCTAACATACTGACAGCATAGAACTCACCAAAAACATAATTAACACAGATGTTACAACTGATTGTTTCCTCTCCTCGTCGTACGAAACGATTCGATTGATATGCTCATGCGCAATCGCTTAAGCATTTATAATAAAGTATAATAAAGTATTAAAAATTATCGGAAATAATACAAATTCAATTGTTCTGAACAATAATTTATTTAAAAAAAAAATAAATATTTCGATATATTTATTTAGCTAAAATTAATTAATTTTTAAATTAAAAAAATTCTTATTTCTTTTTTTTTCGTTTATATATTTCATTTACAATAATTTTACAAAAAAATTAAATAAATTATTTAAATGATCATTTATTTTTTACAATGAAAAATATTTTTGCAATAATAAAAAATAAGCAATTTTCAATAAAAAAATAAATTTCAAATAAAAATAGGAAAAAAATTTTTTTTTATAAAGAAAAAATATAAAAAAAGATTGAAAATAAAATTTTTTGAATTTCATTAAAATTATCTGCCGAAATAAAAAATTTTTGAGATAAAATAATATTTTATTTTTGAAATTTAAATATGAAAAATTTATTGGATACAAAGAGAATGAAGGATAGCTGAGCCAGCCAGTCAGCCAGCCAACCAGCCAGCTTCGCTAAACTCCAAACCGTGCAATGAAGAACAGCGAGAACAGGCGCGCGGCTTATTCCAAAACAACCGCGCAATGGAAAATGTTAAGCGTGCGTGCTAATCATTTTCAGAATTATTTTATTTATATTTATTTATTTATATAAAGCATATTATAATATAAACTTCATTTCATCATTATAAATAAACTTTTTTTTTTTTTTTAATCGACAAATCAGCGAAATTTTTTAAAAAACAATTAAATTTTTTCAATAAAACTTTGAAATTCGATAATGATTTTCAATTTTCCTTAAATGTACTTTTTTTAAAAACAAAAAAACAATTACTGGAAATATTAAAAAATTTCTAGCTTTTTTAAAAAATATTTTCATTAAAAACTTGAATAAAGTTGCAAAGAAAATTGGAATTTTTAAAGAAAATTCGACTTATTTAAAGTATTTCCTCGAAAAAAATGCAAACAATAATATAATATATAAAGAAAACGAATTTTTAACATAAAGTTAAAGAAAAAATTTTTTTTCGGTTGAATTGTTTTTATTTTATTTCTATTTGACGAAATTTACAATTTTTTTCGCAAAAATATATTTTTGAAAATAAAAGAATTTATTTAAAATGCAATTAATTTTATTTGAAATATGTTATAAGTTAAAAATCGCATAAAATCGATTCATAAAAAAATTTTATCGGATTGAACTTTTAGCAATCAAAAGAGATTGTATAAACATCGAAAATGAGCATCATTGTCGTTCATTCTAGCCGTTAACAAATAGATGTGAAGATCAAGTACGCCGTTGTGATAGTGGTGCTAGCGGTAATGGTGTTCAATCTTTGGCAAATGCTCTATCGGGAATGAAAGTACATTTTGAGGAGAATAGAAGAAATTTTAAATGATCGCCATCTGTTTTAAACCATCGCAATAAGTTTTGCTCTCTATCAATTTTCTATTAATTCGCCATGCTTTGTGATTTTATGATTCAAAACTTTCCTAGTTTTTGCTTATCAATTCTATTCTATATTACTAAATTTTTTAGAAGCTATATTGTTGCCTTAAATAAATCCCTCGATTCGAATACAATTCGAATATCAATAAAATCAAATATCGCCTTACGAATGATAATCATAGGTTTTTATTCGTTCGTAAAATAATTACGATAAATACATACTTTCATTTCATAAAATACATTTTATATGTAAACTATGGGCTTGATCAGTTTATTTTTCAACATTCCTTCCTAATAATTATTCTTTTTTCACTAATGTAAAATAATATTCATTATTAGAAATGATTGAGTTTTCGAAAGTCTTTTAATAGAAGCCAATTCGCGAATGATTAATCCAAAATGCAAGTAAAGGATACATAGGAATGTATCATGGAATCTATCTGTTTATCTTTACTGGGAAAAATAGAAAATTGAATTCCCATAGGAACAACTATATCGCATTAAGGTTCACATCCTCTTCCTCCTGTAGGATTAAAAGCATCGTTAAAAAATCTAATGCTGGCAACCGATCCCTATTACTATTCTAACGACTATTGTTACTTAGCGAAACTTAAAATGGTAAGCATGAGCTATTTAACCATAACTTTTAAAACCTCTCATTTTATAAGTCTAATAGAGACATAAGCCGACTCAACCTTTTGCCTAAATTCGAAAAATAAATGGATGAATAAATGTTCTATGGATTAAAGCGTTTGATTACAATTGTTTTTTGGAAAAATTTTTCGATAATGACTTTTTTTGGAAGAAAAATTATGTGATATGAATAAGAAATATTTAAACTTTTCTTTATTAAATATTTAAACTTTATTTTAAAGACATAATTAAGCTAAAAAATTTAGCAGTTTAATTGATACATATTATGGGTACAGAAAACGGCTAATTTCATAATTTATGGTCAGAAATAAATAAATAAATGAGTGATTAGCGCTCAATTTCTGAATTCGTTGCGCTGCTTGTCACCACTATTAGGACAAATTGTCATTTGACGATGAAAATAAAAATATCGCGTTAGTTCCAATGTGATGTTTTAATAACAGATTTTCTCCTTATTCCTGCCTTAGGCAGAAGG